ATATATATATATATATGTATATGCTAGTAAAAGAATCAGACCTTCACCCCTGTCCATTCTATATCTTTGTCTTACCATATAATTATAATTAGTTCCAAGGCAGACTGGACAGACAGCAGCGTCCCGAATTCATACTCAATGCTGAATAGCCTCGCAATGCCTTACAAATTCTGATACAGCGTTAAAGCTCCCTACGCCGTGGCTTGGCTTAACGTCGGTTCGTGACAGCGGCAAAGATCCCACAGCCCAAAGTGAGCGCCGCGGCCCATCGCTAGGATTTCCGATATATACTCTTTTCGCCTCTTGCCCCGCCCCCGCATTCACGTAGTATATCCGCGGGGACCAACGCTTCGTACTCCGATAGTTGAGTTTTCCGGTCAGCAGTGGCTGCAAGTGTAGTCATCTCGCGTGTACAACTAGTAGCTAGACCACGGAATTGCTCCGCGTGAGTGGAGAATCTGAAGCGACCATCACCGACGATCTTCTCTTGGCCATATTTACAAAAGGCGAACGTGTCGTATCCACGACGGCCGAGACGTGTAAAATCTTTTCGTACCTGCGAGCACTGGCCAGTTGCCGAAGCTCCACAATGACCGATCAAAAGTCGTTTCGCGATCATGTTGGAGATCCTGAGGCCAAGAAGGAGGTCGCCGATGAGGAGGTTGCTTTGGACGAGGAGACATTGAAGCTCGATCGCCAGACTCTTCTCAGGCTGGACCTTTTGCTTATGCCCATGACCCTGATGCTATACCTGCTGGCTTGGTTGGATCGTGCCAATGTTGGAAACGCACGAGTGGTACGTCGTCCGCCAATTTGACGCAGGCTGTTGCTGAAAGAAGACCATAGGCCGGTCTGGAAAAGGACCTCCATTTGAGCGATTTGCAATACAAGACAGGTACGTTTTGTTGACCGTCCTGAATTGCCCATACTGACTTCTCAGCCATTACCGTCACTTATGTCCCTTATGTTCTGTCTGAACTTCCCTCCAATCTCCTGCTGAAGATCATCGGCCCCCGTATCCTCCTTCCGACCTTATGCACGCTCTGGGGGCTGGTGACAACGCTCCAGTCCCAAGTGCACAACTACTCCGGTTTCCTCGCATGTCGATTCTTCCTTGGCCTGCTAGAAGGAGGCCTCTTTCCGGGAATTGTCCTCTTCTTGTCCAACTTCTACCGCCGCCACGAACTTCAGGTTCGTATCGCGCTCTTCTTCTCCGCTGCTTCCCTGAGTGGCGCCTTCTCGGGTCTCCTCGCAGCAGCCATCCAGCAGATGAGCGGCCTCCGCGGTATGAAGGGCTGGCAGTGGATCTTCCTCCTCGAGGGCCTCTTTACCGTCTGCTTCGGTATCTTCTCCTTCTTCGTGCTTCCCAACGGTCCAGAGAAAGTCATCACCTTTCGTCCCGAGCACTCCCAGCGCTGCATCGCCCGTCTCCAGCAGGACAGTAACAACTTCGAAACCGAATCCAAGGTCACAATCAAGGGAGTCATCTCCGTCCTGAAAGACATCCACGTCTGGATCGCATGTCTCATCCTCTTCTGCAACGGCGCCTGCCTCTTCGGACTCGCATATTTCTCACCATCCATCGTCCAAGCACTCGGATACAGCCCTACAAAAACCCAGCTGATGACTGTTCCGCCCTACGCCGCCGGGTTCTTCGTGACCATGCTCACAGCGTACTTTTCCGACCGCCGCCAGCAGCGCGGCGCGGGCGCCTTCGTCACAAGCGGCATCGCGCTGATTGGCGCCGCGCTGGCTATCAACGGACGCAGTGTAGGCATCCGCTACGCTGCGCTCATGCTTCTCGTGACGGGCGTGTATGCCTGTGCGCCTTGCCTGATTAGTTGGGTTCCGAATAACACGGCGGGCCACCTGCGGCGCGCGACTGCCGTGGCGATGGCGTTCATCGCGACGAATATGGGGGGCATCATGAGTACGTGGATCTATCCCAAGGAGTCGGCGCCGTACTTCAACCTGGGGATTCGCTTTAATCTGGCGTTGTTGGTGATTGCGATGGTGCTGGTTGTGGTGCAGGTGCTGTTACTGCGGTTCTTGAATCGGAGGAAGGAGACGGATCCGGTGAGGTTGCTCCAGGGGCTTGAGGATCTGCCGTATGAGAACCAGTTTGCGAAGCTTGGGGATAGACACCCGAGATATAAGTATACTTATTAGTGCAGTGAGGCCTGGAAAGTAGGTCTTCTTGTATACTAGACGAGTATAGTCACACACTGCAGCCTGGTGTCTAGGTTACAGGGGTCTTACCGGTCCTCGAAAAAAGATGATCAGTGCAAGTGCAGTTGTGTTAATAACGTATTGTAGATAATAAGTAAACTGTATTTACGCGCATGAGGCACTAGAGACCGTGGACTAACAAATCATAGGATTCATCTCTATCACTCATCATCTCATCTAACTAGCTCTGTCTCCCATAGTAATCTGCGTGCTTCGGTAAAGAGATTAGACGCCAATGCAGACGTAATAGTCCACCCACAGATTGATGCAGCTTTCATCAATCTGCGAGTTCCACGAGCGGAACTGAGCAATAGTAATACCCGCAGCATTGTCAATTGACCAACAGCTGTCGCCCGACTTGACAAATTCGCGCCGATCCCTGAGCCCCCGGACAATACGTGGCTGTTGTTCCTGATCGATATGATCACCCTGGGACGGCTATGGTAGCCGCTCCGTTCTTCAATCCCTGTATGTTAGCCCGCTCTGCCATCCTGGAGATAACTAACCATGCAACTGAAGTCCTGTCGAAGATGGGCCATATATCCTCCTTCACGATGCTGAATTGAACAATGGCCAAAGATACGACTATGACTATTATCTCGCAAAGCACAACCATTGCGAAGGACTTGCTTAGTGACAACAACCCGTAGGTTTCCTTGCACGGTTTCCCCAACATCGCTGACATGAAGGCAATACAGTGACAAATGGACGGCCGAGAAGCACGACGAGTTCTCTAATTACATGGGCCAAAGTATCGCTGCCTGGGGCAACATTACCGAGAAGTCACTATCAAAGTTATTCGATGGGTCTGACGACTCGCTCAACCACCTAACAGACCTCATCTCAGACAGTAAGCTCATCGAAGGCAAAGGGATGGCACCACCTGGCCCAGATGCCCCGGCCGAGAGCGTAAGCGCACTCCGAGCCAGCATCAGCAAAGCCTTCTTTGGATTCGCCATCCCGTCCATCTGGACCGTCTCGGGCACGTACGCGTCCAACATTAACTTGGGCTACGACTGTGGCACCATCGACCCAATGGGCGATTATATGGACACGGATACGTTGCACGCGACGGCAGGCTGCTACGGTGGGAAGCTCCACTACCTTGCCAGCCCGAAGGGGGATGCGTCGACCTGCACCGAGGGACGGTGCTTTGATAACAAATTCTCTACCCCGCCGGGCATCGACTCCCTGGACGGAAAGGACTCCGGGGGTATCACCGTGGGTGATCTCATTACGGGGTGAGTTCAGTTCAGTTCCCAGCTTCTGGTTGATCAGCGAATAAACTGACAACTGACCCATTAGATCGGTCCGCACGGACCAGCAAAACGGCAACCAAAACGGTGGCGCCGCCGCTGACCCCAGCAACAGCGGGACACTGGAGGACCTCTACAATCAGGACATCACAACCCCCGGCTTCATCCGCCTGCCCGTGTGCAGCGCCGACTTTGCCTTCAAGGCCAGGGACCAGTCCGGAGGGCCATACACCAACGTGGCCAACTACCCATGCATCCCGCACCAGGCGCCGAACACTGCCAAGACTCGACGTTTGTTGACCAGACCAGCGATGCGTCCGTGAACGTGTCGGACTGCATGCAGATTGTGAAGAACTTCCAAAACACGGACGGCGATTGGGAGGTCGAGAATGCGATCGGCAATCAGCACCAGCTTGTGCACTTTGGCCCGTGCGCCTTTGGGGTCCAGGGCCAGGGGAAGAACGGCAACGTTGCCTTCAACATCGGTGCTCAGGACATTGTGGATATCATTACTGATTCGGTCAGACAGTTTGGGGGTTCTAGTAAGGTTGGTGCGAAGGGGGTGATGTCTTGTGATGGAACAGCCAAGGGGCAGCAGGTTGAATGGGGGTTGTATTAGCTTGCTTGCATTATCTTCTAGCAGTACCTCTCGAGAGAATTCAGTTGCTCTGTTGGGCTCAGCCTTGTATCTCTCAGTCCTTTGGTGTGAGTCAGACTGGTTCCGTGGTCAACCAAAATCATTACTCGATATTCAAATTGAAGCAAAACAGGGTTGACCAGCCGAAGAGATCTACAGCCCTTAGCTTTAGACTGAGGATAAGCCGAAGGTGAATGTTGACACGATCCAACTGTTCCAACACGTGGGGCAACTTACCCATTCATTTGCCAAGAGCGGAACGGAGAGGGTGATCACTGAGAGAATTCGATGGAACCAAGGCGGCAGGATATACGACAATCACATACCTATCTTAGTGTAAGGTAATGAATGAATGACCATTATACCTTTCTGGATCAAAGGGTCATCACCTCATTTATGAACAATGACATTGCTGCAGCTGAGGAAATATTTGCAGTAAATGCGGTACATAAGCGCGCATTCGAGCAAATTGTGACTAAGACTGCATGCAGGTGATGTCATGATCCTGTAGATGCTTGCAGTAGAGAATATTTGAGTACTATTAGCAAAGATCATACAACACAACGGGCCGAGTCATAGTCTCTTTGGGCCGGAAGTGTCGGAATTGGCGGATGTGTAAATGCCTCACACTCTGAATAAATGCGGGCAGGATATCTGCATTTGCATTCCCCTCCAGCCTGCTCAGGCCATCTCACTCCCAGAAAAATAGGACCACCACAGCAGAGAACCACCATGGAACTGATCCTACCAAGCTGGCTATCCCTATCAATATATGCCTGGCTTGTTCAAGAGGTCGTCTTTCATGCCGTCGGACTCATCTTTGAATGGTGCGACCGCACCAATAGCTTGCCCCATCTGAAGGTGCGCGATATCGACCGCAAGCCGTACATCCAGATGCTCCCGCGCGTGTTGTTCAATCAATGTTTCATCCTGCTGCCAAGCATGATGCTCATCCAGGCAATGGGGTTGTGTTTTGTGGGACCCACGCACCTGCATCCCCTACACTTCCTCCTGTCACTTCCGGCCATGGCCGTCGGTCATGACGTGGTGCAATACCTCACTCATCGGTATCTGCTCCATAATCCGAACCTGCGACTGATGCGCCTGCTGCAGCACTCGCTGCATCACTCGACAGGCGCCAGTCGCGGAATCAGCGCATGTTACATGTCCGCCCCGGACTTCTTCCTCGAGATTGTACTCCCGTATCTCGTCCCTCTTGCGCTGGTGGGAGGCGGCGGCGCAGATGTTCTCTTCCATTCGCTTGTCGCGGGGTCTGGGGCTCTCGGTGGTGTTTATGAGCACTCGGGGTACGACTTTTCTGCATTGTTCTCATCAGAGAACTTCACGGGAGGAAAGGGACTGTTACCGAGCTGGACTCCAAAGGTTGCGGCGTTGATCCGGGATTTTGTCGACAATCGGGCTCACGGAGAGCATCATTCTCGGGCAAACGTTTCATTCTCGGATGGATTCGGCAGTCCGGGGATCTGCGACACCTATTTCGGCACGCGGTGGGATCTGGTGGCGGCGCGTCGGGCAGCAGCAGAGACGGAGTGGCAGACTCAGCGGAGGAGACACATGAACGCCAAATGAAGGCTTCCTGTCTTTAATACAGCACCGGGCCCCCGTGGCCCTATGACCCCTTATACATGGAGATCTAATGACCTCAACACCTATGGACTCACGATCCCATGTACTCTCGCAGAAACAGACAAGACACAATGGGACTGAGCAACGTACATGGCAACTTACTAAAATCTTGGCGAGGATAGAGACTAGTGAGCTTGACAAGCAATCAAGTCCAGCAGAGAAGAACCTCCGTTCTTTCTTGGGAGACAAGTGTCTGCCAGTCGCAAAGAAAGAATCGACGAGGAACTGGCCACCAACACCGGTTTCAACATGCGCCGCGAGACGCTTTTGTTAATTTAAGCTCGTATGCAAAATCTCGACTCACGAAAGAAGTCTTGAGCCCTCTCGCGAAGGCATTGTGACGTTCCGCAAACCTCAACCGCTCTGATTGAAAAATCAGTATCTGCTTGCAAACCCATAACGGTAGGGATAGCAATTCGCAACACAAAGTTGGTCTGTTTCGTACGACACTGGCTCTACGTATACATACTGATAGCGTATCCTCTGCACCACCTTGCAATGCGGCAGGCCCCTAGTCCGGTTCTGCTGGAGCACAGCTGCAGACTCAAGCTTGTCGAAGTTTCGGAACCATGTCCTGATTATGTTCCAGTGATGTCCGTTTCTGATGGTTCCTAAGGTCATTCAAATCAATTAACGGTTCCAATATCCTCACTCATAGTTGAATGGTCGAGAAGTAGTGCCTTCTGTCTCGCAGGCATTGCCGGTAAGGTCCAAACTTTGCATAAGAAATGCTTGGTATTGTGACGCTATAGGCAGTCATTGTAGCATCATCACACTGCCCCATGTCAGTTTCCCCGTCCATATGTCCCTCTAGTCAAAAAGATGTCTACATCGAAGTACCTAGCATATGGCCATCCCCCGCTTAGCATCGGGATATAATCCTGAGGCATCCTTTTCTTACCGTGATTGGGTATCGCCGACGGGGGCTTATCGGATGTCGGCGAGCAGTAGCCAATCACAGGTCGAGAACCTGAGATCTCATTGAGTAATGGCCAGCCGAGGATGCCCCAAAGCGGACTAGCCTGTATCACCCCCCGCATCTTTTGATGTCGCAGTTTCCCCATTGTTGATCTTCCTTCTGTCATATATCCAGGAACAGGTCAAAAGTGTCGTTACAAGGTGTTGAAGACATATAATACACGGTCAGACCAGACGACTCAACATGGAAGGCGACACTCTACCGCTCGCGCAATACCTCTTCAAACGTCTGCGTCAATTGGGTGTAGACTCTATATTTGGTGTACCTGGTGACTACAATCTGACCCTTCTGGATCACGTGGTACCCTCGGGACTCAACTGGGTTGGGAATTGCAATGAGCTTAATGCAGGGTATGCTGCGGATGGATACTCCCGGATCAAAGGTACTTACTATCCTTCCTCATACTGCCTTGACAGACGCTGATTACTTAGGTATCGGTGCGCTCGTGACCACCTTTGGCGTGGGCGAATTATCCGCCGTCAACGCCATCGCAGGCGCCTATGCAGAGAGAGCTCCAGTCGTACACATTGTTGGGACTCCCATGCGCGCTTCGCAGGAGTCGCGCGCAATGATCCATCATACCTTTATTGATGGCGAATACCAACGGTTCGACCGCATGCAGGAACATGTCACGGTAGCGCAAGTCAGTCTGAGTGATCACCGCACGGCGCCTGCCGAGATCGACAGAATCCTGCTGCAGTGTCTGCTGCATAGTCGACCGGTGCGCATTACTATCCCCGTTGACATGGTCCCCGTGCTTGTCCCCACTGCGGGGTTGGCGTCCAAGCTCGAGATCCCGCCTCCCGTGCGCCAGCCCCAGGTGGAGGAGGCGGCCCTGACTGCTGTGTTGGAGAGGATCTATAACGCGAAGAAGCCCATGATTCTGGTTGACGGAGAGACAAGAGCTTTTGGTACTGTTAATGAAGTGAATCAATTTGTCAAGACGACGGGCTGGCCTACGTTTACATCCGGCTTCGGCAAGGGGCTGGTCGACGAGACTCTACCCAACGTCTACGGAGTGTATAGACCGGCTCACAAGGAGTTTGTCGACTCTTGTGACCTGGTCCTGGCTTTTGGACCACACTTTAGCAACACCAACACCTACATCTTCTTGGTGAGACCGCAGGACGAGACGAGTGTTCTACTCAATCCAACCTCCGTTCAAGTCAATAAAGACATTTACCGAGATCTCCCAGTCAGTTATTTCATCCAGCAGCTCACACAACGACTGGACACATCTAAGGTCCCCGCGCACAAGCATAATCTGATCCACCCCACGGCCCAAGTACTCCCCGAAGTACCTCCTACCGACCTCGTCACACAGACTGCAGGCTTCTGGAGACGGCTGTCGCCCTTCTTTCGCTCTGGTGACATCGTCCTCGGTGAAACGGGAACGCCAGGCTACGGCGCCAACGACTTTATCCTCCCCCCGCAGACTCGTCTCTTCAAGCCAGTCACCTGGTTGTCCATTGGATACATGCTCCCGGCTACGCTGGGGGCGAGCTATGCGCAGCGTGATCTGATTTCGCGAAACGAGTACCACAACATCTCCACCGCCCGAACAATCCTCTTCATCGGCGACGGCAGCTTCCAAATGACCGTTCAAGAGCTGAGTACTATCATCCACCACAAACTCAACGTTATTGTCTTCTTAATCAATAATGATGGCTATACAATCGAGCGGTGCATCCATGGCCGGAACCAGGCGTACAACGATGTCGCCCGGTGGCGGTACCTCAAGGCCCCGGAGCTATTCGGCGCGGATCAAGAGGGCGAGTACGCGGCGCGGACATGGGAGATTCGCACATGGGCGGATTGCGAAGCCGTGCTGAAGGACGACCAGCTGGTGAATGGTAAAGGCCTGCGGATGGTGGAGGTGTTTATGGACAAATTTGACGCGCCGGATGTGTTGATGAATTTGCTGAATGCGCAGATTGCGAGGGACAATGCGCAGAAATAAGCTAGCCAATAGACTGGTAGCTTAATTCATGCTTCTGCCTGTGCCATACTGTCGATGTTGTAGGCTGTTTGTCGGCGATAGGATACCGACTTGGGATCTCTCTGCAATACGGCTAGCATTGGATGTATATAGGAGTACAGGCTGGGCGAGGTAATACTATAATTGCAACATCGACAACGTAACAAGGACGCAATTAAGACGAAGCAGCAACCTTCTTCCAGCTCTCCCTGGACTTCAGGTCCTCCCAATACTTCTGGAAATGCGGGTACTTTGCAATCAAGTCCGCGAACCCAAACTGCTCCACAAACACGCCGTAGGGCAGATGCGACAGATCCGCAAATGTGATCTCGTCACCCGCAAGGTACTTCTGCTTGGAAAGCAGCCGCTCGTAGCCCTGGAGAGTCCGGTCCAGCTGCGCAAGCAGCGCCTTGACGCGCACTTCGTCGGTTTCGCCCTCGCCCTTCATGGACTTCCAGACCTTTTCGTAGGCGAGCTGTGCAATAGGGGGATCAAAGTAGGATTGTTCGATGGAGATGGCCTGGCTTGTCAGTACTCTCCGTAAGAGTTGATTGGCTGGACGTGGACATACCTGCTGGTACAGAGCGTAGGCTTTCAGATCGGACTCTGGGGGCGCGAGCTCTGCCCCCTGGCCGCGGTATTTGGCGATGATATATTGAGCAATGGCCCTGCTTTCTGGCAAGAATTAGCATAACTATCATGATCTCTGGTTGGGGACGCACCGAAGACCTGGACTCCTGTCTCGGTGTCCTCCAGGACGGGCACCTTTCCAAAAGGCTGCATTTCGAGGTAAGACTCTGCCAAGTGTTCTCCCTTGGCCAGGTCGACGTTGACAATTTCGGCATCGACGCCCTTCTCAATGAGCGCGAGGCGCACGCGGGACGTGCAGGTCGACCAGGAGGATCCGTGGAGCTTGAGAACCATTGTGTCTGAAATTGGAGTGTAATCTGTTAGTAGATTGATGGTTTGAAGCGGGGTTGAGGCTTGGAACAGTGAGAACTATGGCCAGACCGCGTCTTTATAGTGAATACGACTTGCAAGCGGGGCAGATTTAGGCCATGATCAGTCCGATTTGGGCATGGTTAACGAGCAGGGGTAGCTTACGGAATTAATTCCGACTCGCCCTGGGGTCGCTTAAAATTGCTTATGGGATCATTATCGATTTGTCTAGGCGCCTGATCCTGATCTTTCGATCTTTCGATCCTTCGATCCATCGGGTAGATCCTGCAGGGACCGTAGCATAATATAGTGTACAGCGAATCTAGCCCTACTGAGCATTAGATCAAACCCAGATTGAACTTCCTTGTCGGAATAAGGGAAGCAGATCCTGGGGAGGTGGATCCTTATGTCCTTGTGACCTAGCCTCGACCTCGTAATCCTTGATAGAAAATGAGACACCTAATTTGTCACAGCTAGAGCGCAATGGTGCCGTAACCTCGAGGATCCTGTCTTCCAAGGTCCTCCCGTCAGTTACCGGCAGGAGCCGTGGCCATGATTGATAATGCATTATTTCACCAGGCGATAGTCGCTTCTTAAGGAACCTCCCCTGGATAGTCATCTCTGACAAATGAGGAATGCACCTCTTGCATGGACCAGATCCATCATTTCAGCAGCATGACCGCCTCATTCTCGCGCCACCATCCAGAAATGCACAAGGTCTCCAGCGACGGCGGAAGAAGATCTACCAACCTCTTTGGAGGGAGCTGCTGATCGTGAAGAAAAAAGTGAACCATTTGCAACTGAAGATTTTTCAATCTCCAAAATCCTCGCAGCCATCCAACCCACTGGGTGCTGTCTCTCAAATCCTTGCAGCAGAGAGTAGGAATCCGAGTCCAGACACAGTGTTTCGAGGGTATCCCTCCTCGCTTGCAGGTGGCCGTCTGTTCGAACATGAACGGTCCTGACTCGTAGTAGTACTTGAACGACCTCAGACCGGTGCAGAGTGTTGTCAAGCGCTCAAATCCCATGCGGGTAGTACTCTGCCGCAGCTCAAGATGCGTTACTCTCGCCGCGCCATTCTTCATCTCAGGAACAAACCAATCAAAATCTTTGACCATCTGAGCGGAGAACACACGCAGCGAAGACAGGTAGACACATGGCAAGATTTTCTTCAACCCGATAATACCGACTCTTCAGCCCGTGCCCTTGAGAAGCACTTTTTCCAGTTTGCCGAGCGACCACTTCCCTCGAACTGGTCCCGATGCAGGATCAGCTCGTCTACTTACTTTGCTGCGTACCTGGTCCTAGATTCTACCCAAAGCCATTCCATAGTGCGCAGGCTAGGCAGGATGTAGAGCAGGAGGGCTACCCACGCATCGCACTTGTCCCCATGCCTGAGCTCTTTCTTCCAGGTGGCACACCCGTTATAATAATTGACTAATTAGTCGACTTCTGCGATAAACTTATGATCTATTGTTGGCAGTTCCTTTGAGTGGACATGCTTTTTGGAACAAGAGATCGGCCGACCTAGAACAAGGTTCTCCACGCTGAGGCAAGCCTTCCGACGGTGCAAAAGGAAATCAATCAGCCAGCTGAGGTCCAACGTGCAGTACTCGGGCAGCTCGATCGGGTGGAATGTACACGGGTATACGATGTCAAACAGACGACAGCAGCATCTGGCAGAATGGAAGCGATCTTTGTAACTGGTGAGATGAGTGGCGATTGACAATATGATCTCTGTCGGGAGTGCTTCAACTGGTTGCAGGGGCATTATGAAAGTTCACAGTAGTCTCGGATATATGTCTACTTGTCGTCGCAAACCCGGCAGCGAGCAACTCGTATTTTAAAGCCCATCAGGAAATGTTCCGCGTTTTGACTGCTTATCTGGTGGCGGCTGTGCGCGATGCCCTCGTATTGTGTTCCTGCACTGTCTCGTTGACCTAATTGCCTCGTGCCCTCTAGAGACATCTGTTATCCCAGTGAACTTTTGTTTGACGGTGTTCTTCTTTCTCGCAGAAGGCTCAGCCGGGTGTCGTCTGTCCTAGCAGGGGTCACGATGCTGCTCCGGGAAAACTGACATTCAGAAGCCGTGTGTTTGGCATTGTCCATGACTTGAGACTGCATGCAGAGGTTCCTTTTATTCCCTTTAGCATCAATACAAAACTGTATGATATGCTGTAGAGTATTATGAGGTTAGTGTTCTGTTATTCCCTTCGGCAGCTGATGCAAGAGATAGGGCAGCGCAATGAGTGATCGGCCTCTCTCGATTTCTGTCAGCAGATCTATCAATCACCAAAAACCATTGAAAATACTAGAAAATCCGGGCCTGCATTTATTCCCCAGAATGATAGGGCATTCCTGTTCCTGACTAAGTCCAATAGAGCGAATGTATGGATTCACCCCTTGCATAACTATCGGATTCCACACTCTCGGTGGCGCAGTGGCTGAACGCTTGAATAATCAAAACAATATTAACAGATAACTAAATATATTTGAAAAAAAAAAAGCATATGTATAATCAGAAAAACAAATGAGTTATGGTCAAACACTAGGCCAGTCGTTGTCCCACTTCAACTGGTTCCATCCAAACTGGTAGTCCTCGACGGCCTTGCCGATGCGCGTGTCCGCATAGTGATAGTACAAGACAAGCCCCTTGTTTGAGTCTTTGAGAATGCCCCTGCGCCCAGACGTTAGTTCATTCTTTACCTTCCATAAGGGGGGACTTACTGTCCGCCAGGACCGTAGACAAAGTCATGACTGGCGAGCAAAAGGGTCCCTCCACTGTTCAGGCAGGAAACACCGTTCTTGTCGACCTATTCATTATCAGCCTCTGATACAAAAGACAAATCTGGGGTGCTGCGACTTACGAATCCTCCCGTCGCCGAGGTCGACCGACAAACCGAGATGAAGTACTCCTCGCCCGGAGCCGGCCACGTATCATTGTAGCCCAGCGCAATGCCCCCGGAGAAAGTCAAGTAGAAGTAATTGTTGCGCTCAAACATAAAGGCCGCCTCCTGGCGATGGATTCCGCTGGCATTGTAGGAGATCTGGTGCGGCGTGGCGCCGCTCTTCATTTTGAGGCCGTTGGCCATCTCCACCTGGAACAAGTTATTCCAGTAGGAGCCGAAGTTGACGTACTGGGTGCCGCCGACGACGATCCAATTGGCATCGATGGTGTTGTACGGGCTGGCGGACGTGGACTCGATGCCGGTAGTGCCGTGGTCGGTCCAGCTGCCGGCTTCCATAGTCTTGGAGGTCGCAACTCCAATGGCCGAGTTCTGCGAGCCCAGAGAGGAAACCGCGTAGTAGAGGTAGTATGTCCCATCTCGGTAGTGCAGGTCAGGGGCCTGGAATGTTAGGAGACATGACAGAGGTAAATGAATAGAGACATACCCAGAGGTTGGTCTTCCCGTCTAGGTCGATGATAGAGCCGTTGGGTAGGACATAGCCGTCGTCCGTCCACGGGCCCTCAAGGCTGTCCGCCGAGGCGATATGGATGCCTCCGCCCGTTGCAAAGCGAAAGTATTTCCCATCAGATTTACGCTGGTACAGACCAGGATCATGGGTCCAGCAGTTGCCTGAGCAGGCACCGGGGTCTGCGTAGGCGTTGACGTTCACAGACGCCAGGAAGAGGAGGATGAGAGTATATAGATACATGGCGAACCTTTGTTTTGCCTCTACTCAATACTGTATAATAATTGACTTCGAAAAGGTTGCATAGGAGCGAACAGCCCTATTTATGTCATTCCTGGCCCACTCGGTGCCAGAGGAATCTCTCGGAAATTACCCCATATTGTCAGCCTTTGGACTGAATGCAGCCATCGCAGCCCGCACGGCAACCTCCCGCAAGCCAAGATATCCCTCCATCCAGGCGACCCCTTTGTGCCGCGAATGACCGGGCGCAGAGTCGGAAAGATTGGAGCTGGCCATGCACAGTGGCCCAAAGTGTATCCTATCGCGGGCGATGTCGCGATTCGGCCCAATGATGAGCCTGCAGTCGCAACGCCAACGCGGGAGTGGAGTAAGGCATCAAGTACTGGCATGGCTGATGGTGATCGAATGAAAGTCGAGGCGTTGGAAGAAAAGGTTGGAACTAAGTACAATAATTCTTTGAGCCTTACCTGGTGACCGCCGATCGCGATCTGGCCAAACCTAAGGACTAAGGAGACTTTTGACCTACAATAGCGATATTGAATAGCTAGCTGTTTATCGACACTATTTCTCCGTTCGTGTGACCTCAGACCGCCATTCTTTTGTTCCTTTATCTGTCGGAGCGTTTACAGAACTAGTAATGCATCCCTTGCTTGCTACATGCATCCAGTTGAGTGCGTTGTCCGAGTGGATAAATCTTCCCGATCGGCCATTTCCGAATCATCAGCATCAGTAGAATAACTGAGAGTAGAGAGATCAAACGGTCTCGCGAGTCATGGTTGATGTGCATCATAGTGGGACCAAGTGGGCCATAGGAATCGCGCAAAATGGAGTCAAGATGCGTAGATGACATATCTCCTCTGCAACTGACGAACATCATTGGATACAGATTAACTCCGCGGCATCCTCTTCGGTGCCTTCTGGTGGCTTCAGCCATCCGTCGTTCTTAGCATCTTGTAGGTTTGTCCCGCCAGAGTATTACCATGGTCCATGCCATCAGATTACTCTGTTAGGACAATGCAGTGAAATCTTCTTCAAGAGACTCCATGAAGTCATCCTCAGGAAATAGACACCTATGAGCTGACTATGATGTATAGTAACACCTGTTATAGCCATGTGTCAGCAGAAACTGCTTGACTCGTTTATCAAGTAGCCCAGCCAAGATAGTACGGTAAAGATGTTGTGTTGTCGTCTGCACGCTACTGTCCTTGTCTTCCGTCACTCTGACTCAGATTGATCGACAAAGACCAGGATCTCATCCTGGTCCATCGATCGCATCGATCGAGCCTTGCTGGGGCACCCCCGCCAGGATCCGGTTGACAGCGAAGATCCGTGGATCATATTGTACTCTCAGCCTCTACTACTGGCACTTTCGTTCATTATAATACAGTCTATAATATTGGAATACCCTCGAGATTTGTTTATGTACTTTCTGCGGTAAGAGCGCGCAAGACAGAAATGCGGGGTAACAGTCATCATATTTGCCTTTAATCTTGGGATATAAGCCTTGTGATCTTCGTTGACGGCTTATTTCCAGTGATCTCATCGCCTATTAGCCGATGGCATAATTCCTTTTTGGTATGAGCACATGCCAACTCATAGTGCAGCAGGAAATGCGGGGAAGGCTGAATGATCTTCTTGGTACTCCAGCACATAGGAATCTGCTGACAGTCATTCGGATATGAAGGTCATATCTGGTTAGAGCAATTTTAATAGCATATTAATAGAATAATGACGGTTGGCTATTCATGTGAGTCCTGACTCAGAATGTTGATCATCTTGCTGCTGAACAGATATATACGGAAAGATACGGACATCAGAGTCCATCTTAAATTCTTAATATCTTTTCTGCGAGGTTCTTGTTCCATATTCTTCACACAATAAGCATATATATCCTCTGCACCGCGTGCATCGTACCTGAAGCTCGGTCCCTATCGGTTTCATTCCAGTCTAGGGCTTGTCCACTGGACTGGCCCCTGACGCGTAAGCTATCGAGTTGCGCCAATCCGACACAAATGTCTTATGTCGGGAAAAGTACGGCAGAGAAGACAGTGGTCCAGCTCGGCAGAAAGACAAACTCGCGTCATATATCGCTTTGTAGTTGTACCAGGTGTTGAAGACTTGTTCAGGATAGGTCCGAGCATGTAGAGCGACAGGAAAAGGATGGCCCTCAGATTTGACATTTCTCGTTGAAATCTTCGTACAGGAGACAATACCTTATCCTCGACGGTGATTCCGTCAACAAATCCGTCTCCTAGTTTGTAATCAGCGAGAATGTCGAACATCCCTCATCTTCTTCCTTGCGATCCCACTACCCGCGAGATCCCTTAACGTCCTTAGGAGAGATTAATGTACAGGAGGCTCCTAAGCCATACATAGAGTCCTCGGCAGCGATAGTTCTTCGCCAGTATAAGTACCAGTAAAACAAAGCCGAGCCTCCAAGTACGTCTGGGCTATAATAGTTACTATTCTGTTTTATACATCCCGCATAAGCATGCCCAAAAGTTATACGAGCGGACGAATCACGAAGGCTGCATAGACAGGACATCAGACAGTTTGACTATCGAAATGAGCATTTCTAAGCATAATAATCGCCTCGGACTTAACGCAGTTAGGGTCTATCTCCATAGAAAAATGTCTATAAAGCCAGCAAATCCAGGAGAAATGTACATTTTCAACCACGCATAACTACAATGGCAGCTACAAAGACAATAGTACTTATTACCGGGGGTATGTTCCTCAACTTGAATGCGAAAGCCAATTGAGCTAACCACCACCAGCAAACAGCGGGATCGGTTTCGAACTTGCCGCCCAGCTAACAGCCAAAGCGTCCTACCACGTTCTCATGGGAGTCCGCTCCATGCAAAAAGGCAATGCAGCGCTGGCCCAGCTACAATCACGCAATCTACTAGGCACCTTAGAGCTGCTCCATCTCGATGTTACCGACGACGAGACTATCCACCGCGCCGCAGAGACGGTTGAAAAAGCACACGGAAAACTCGACATTCTCGTCAACAACGCCGCCATAGTATCTACAGCTCCCACCCTTCGCCAGAAGTTGCAAGACGAATTCAATACCAACGCGACTGGTGCAGCAGTCGTTGCGGAGTCCTTTATCCCACTGTTACGGAAGTCCACCCGCTCCCCGCGGATTATCAACATCTCCAGCGGTGCGGGCTCGATCGCCCGTCGTTTGGATCCGTCCTCGGTATTGTACAAGGTGCCAGGCCTGCAGTATCGAGTGAGCAAGTCAGCACTGCATATGATAACTGCGTGTCAGTGGGTGGAGCACGGCCCAGCCATCAAGGTCTTCGCGTATGACCCTGGCTTCACACAGTCGAATCTCAGCGAGAGAAACACGGCGGAGAACGGGGCTAAGCCGGCTGCTGAGGCGGTGCGGCCGTTGATTGATGTGCTTGAGGGGAAGCGGGATGATGAAGTTGGTCAGTTGTTGCATAACACGGGTGTTTATTTTTGGTAGTTGCCACCTCCGGTAGAAGAATCGCATCAAACCCTAGGCTATATTGTTCCTGACTACAATCAATGTATGATCTCCCTCACAAAAAACGGCCTCACATCTTTGTCCCTCGTCCTATACTTCCACGGTATCCACCTTTTGCCAATGCACAGCAAACCCTTCGCCAGTGTCATTGGCCGCAATATCACTAGTGCCTTATTCCGTACATAAGCCGAACTGCCTGGTTCCTATGCCCAATTGTCCATTGAGTCCATCACCTGCAGACCAAAGCGACCCATCCGCCGCCAAAGCTACAACATGCGCCCGTCCCGCAGCTGCAACGACGATCTGGAGGCGTCTGCCAGTATCAGTCTCAATGACAGCTGCTTTGAACTCGACGGCGCTCATTGGATTAACATCCGCGATCTCAGGCCAATTCTCGGATTTGTAACCCCAGATGCACAGCTGTCTCGCATGAGAGATGCCAACATTGTAACATCCTCCTGTCGCCATCTTCTGGATAGGCGGTAGTGGCAAGCTCTTTGGCGTGGAATCGAGCGCTTCTGGTAGTTGCAACGGCCATCTTCGGATTGGATCACCGAAAAGGACATAGCGATCCCATACCTCTTTGAACGCTTCGTTCTCGTCCGGCGGATATGGGGCGTGAACGGTGCTCTTTTTGCTCCAGACATGCCCAGCACCAGTCTCGTCAAGCGCAGCGAACTTACTGGTAAGTTTGACGATAGGCGCTGCAAAATGTCACCGAATGAGTCGGGCCTTGCTTAGTCTCATTGTCCGTCAACCAAGCAATCATTGGTCGCCACGAGTCGAAAAAGACAACTGTGTGAGGATCACTCTCAAGAACGAGTGCAACTGCCCCTGAGATGAGATCCGGGTTAAGCATGCGCGTACTCCGTACCGCAATGTGTGAGATCTGTCTTCGCATAATCGATTTCAACCGCGTGGAAGGTCGATCATTCCCATCCTGTGTGAGGATACAGCTGCTGGTTGTCAGAAAGAAAGGCTGCCTTATGGCCTCCAGACAGAACAATGGCCTGTTGGATCCGACTTGGATGTATTGCATCCGTGACAAGTGCAAGTTCACCATCATCAAGAGGATGATGGCTCAGATATTTCAAATGATCATCAACTTGCACAAACGTCGACCCATCATCGCAGCTGATGATGCGAATATTCTGGCACGGCCTTGTCAAAGGCCTGAGTTTGAGCGGCCATAGTGGACAGTATGAACAATCTCTCCCATGATTATTGTGCTCGCAGCAATGCTCTTCGCCAACTGAGTGACGAAGGCAGGATTGAGGTTGGCCCAAGTATCCGTCACTGTTCTCACCACAACCGTAGAGTTGCATTCGTAAGTTAATGGAATATATTTAGGATCTCGGTTCGGAACGGGAGGTATCGAGAGAAAACTGATCGAGAGCGAACACTCCATAGACGACACGATCCTTCCTTTATAATGCTGAGTCCATAGATCATCAACACCTTATCGTCAACTGAAGTTTCATAACAACCTAAGGCAGTTGAAGAGTCGCCAAACTGATGGCACAGCACCCACATAAGACGCCGAGGCATACGAGGCACTCATGGGAAAACCACATCGGACTGGCCATGATCAAGCAGGAAAATACCAATCACTCCGCGCTGAAAATGCTGCAGCGTCTCAATTCTGGTATACCTGACCTGGAGCAGCCAAGAAAAAGGATGATTTCCACGTGCCTATTCCCCTTCGGCGCATCAGTTCTCTCTCGCGCTCTCTGATCCGTTTACGGCGCTCTCGAGCCGCGCGCTCTTCCTTCTTGCGTTTCTTCCTTGCCTCGGCGCTGTCGCCAGATAATAGGTTTTTGAGCCAGGTAATCATTTTAGCTGTGATTGTGGGAATGCAAGATGATATACCGAGGACTGAGCGAGTGTGCCGTCTAAGACCAAGAAGGGTGACAGCAATGTCATTCCGATGGAGCCGTATCCTGCTGATTGCAAGGACTGTTTAAGTATTTCTCTGGACCAACGGTGGTGAGACAGTGCGACGCCACGTTACATTTGCACACAATGATTATGGGCCCACTGCCTGAAATAGCATCTGGCCCTGGACAGGGTGAAAATATTATTGGAGGAAGAGGCCCAGCCTCGGGGCCAGTAGTGCTTATGCTGCGTTAGGGCGCCCTATGCTTACGGTAAACCATGACTCATAGTTTGAAGCTCAATTACACTCGGTAGATCATGGAAATTACCCTTGCAGAGAGATAACAATTAGACAGAAGTAATCAGCATATCAGTGTGCTCTGGAGTACATATATTGCAAGCCGTTCTTAAGCACTACACGAGTTGCTGCATCTCATATCTCTTCCCTCTCAAAGCCTTCGCCTTGAATGCCTTCCACGCATCCAAAGCATAGGGGAATAATGCCCAAATAACGAATATGACGAAGGTCAGCGGAACGGACACCGCCCAGTATATCCAAAAGTCCACGGACACTTTCCACTGATCGTCATCGTCTTGGAAGAAAGGCATGCTGAACATGGTCTAGCTATTGAATCAGAAAAATAGTCGCCGGAAGGAAGAAGAGTGGACTCTGACGTACAGAGATGAATGTGGCCGGCAGGAATACCATAGTCAATATCGATATCGACTTCATCACCGAGCTGTCCCGCTGAGTGATTTTATTAAATGCCTACTCCTGGTAAATTCCATGCACATTTGATTTTGAGATTATGAGGAGCCTTACCGCCGTGGTCTCCGTTTTCAATCGCTCATATGACGCCTTTGAGCGCAATAGCAGATTTTGAATCATCAACAGCTGAAAGCTCACATACTCCTGCGCCTGCTCTTGATAGGTCTTGCTGATTTCAGCTGGCAAACAATCGTAAACTCGTCTTTGCTGTTCCTGTATCTTCAGAAATGTCCCAATCGTCGCCTCCAGGACCTCTGTGACATGGACTCCATGGCGAGACAAGTCGTTCATATTCTCGAAATTTGTTCCTATTTCGACTCTGTTCTATTACAAAGGGCACTCGTCAGCGCAATACTTTCCTCTCGAGCAGAGGCACTATCCGAAGAGATGAAATGTACCTTCTCAATTGCCCGAACAGCATCCCGGAGCAGCCATAAAGACTGATCGTACAATCTCACCATCTCGTCAAGCAATGGCGCATGCATGCAAAACGGATCTTTCAAGTCCAGCGTGGACATCTTTTCAAGGGATATCTTCAGGTCATGGCGGAACGCTTCTGGCGCATCAACACATAATATCCTGCAACAGTTTGGGCTATCCCATCTGGTGAAGACACCGATTTCATGCCATTTGTAGTCAATACTTAGCCCATTTGTCGCTCTTTGACTGTATATTAACGTTACCAAGCAACGGAACCATGTAACTAATGTTGTGATCAGCTTTCTCAATGGGCCCATTCTCCGGGAGGGACGACAGAAGAATGACATATTTACCATAATTTTGCAGCTTATTGTCCTTGTCATAAGATCCCCTGCATCCAAAATACCCATTCATTAGAGTGCACGTATCATTTGTCACAAAATGTGGTACGCTGAAGTGTCGCAAAATCTTTGCACGGTCTCGTTCTGATTGTGGATACGAACTCGCATTAAGAAACCTTGTGAAATAATAAAAGTTCGCTTTATTAGCAATAAGCATTCCAATATTACTCAGATATCAGTCCGGAAGTGCCAATCATACAAGTAGCATATCTTCGGAAGGGTGGTAGTCTATTTTGGTCGGCTCAGTTATCTATTTTCAAGCAAGGCTATATTCAAGTGCATACCTTCAGAAGATCAATTTCCCCAAATTGCCAGTTTCCGCCCTCTGTAAAAACCGCTCATTAGCTCAGTGCCCCTGGCCAAGCGGAGTGAAGGTGAGAAAACTTGGCACCGTGGTTCTCCAAGGATATTGCCATGCAATTCACCGTCGCCATGAGTTGTGGCTTCAGGCCCGATGAAGGCCGGCGAGCCTTTGTTGTGCCTGGTGAGCAATTGTGGTTCTGAGATAACTGGTACCGACAATCTCATAACCACTCGATTTTTGATCCTCAAATTGGTAAGATCTATCTGTAGAAGGGTTTGAGAAGGTAGCTACCGAGGAGTTCGAGGTCTGACATTTCAGGATACTTATGGAGGGTTTCAGTATGAGGCTGGCTTAATGCAGGTATGTTGATTTCTGACATGCCGGCGCTAATTAGGCTACCAACATACAGCATTGGCGCTAAGAACAATGTAAGAATTTTGGGAAACTAACAGTGTTGTGCAGCTCAGCCTCGCCCATAAGACTGCCTTTGGTGCAGAAATGCTGACATCCCGGCGCTAACTAGGCCACCAATAGTATGGCATAAATAAGAATACAAGAAGAAGAGTTAACAATGTGTCGGGCAGCTCAGCCTTGGCCATTAGGCATACTTTTGTGCACGTACACAGAGTAACTGTGGGCTATGGGTGAGGTACTCAACTCTGGTCGTTGCCTTATTCCGCGTAGTAAGATGGGATGGATTATATTCCTGCATACTAAACAACTTGTCAGCGAAACTCCCTTCAACAGACAGGCCAGGTGCAGCGAAACATCGTGGCCTTCTCTACCACCTTGAGTGGTTGAGCGTGTCTTATGAAGGTTGTATGTAATGCAAATATCTAGCCTTGTCTGATTGACTCAGCGTCCATCCACAAGCACCTCAGCTCGACTGCACACATGTGTAGCGCACAAGACTCATACCGGCGAGTAAAGATAACTTGTGGCGTGGCGGCCTAGCCTTCTATCTGTTATCAGTGTCTTGAGTTAATCCAATGCAAACCCTGACATTTTATCTGGTGACGAAGAGGTGGGGAGACTCCTGTATCTTAATAGGCCTGTTATTCAGACCCCTCAACTGTGATCATGGTGTTGCAAAATGGGCGGCTTGGCCACCTGTAAGCTAGAGGCATATAAATCAGGCGCAGTACAAAGTCCGATATTCATCATTCAATCTTGAGCAATACACTTTCCGTTGGAAAGGGAGGTCCTGTCCGTTTGTTCCAGTGAGGGGTGCCATTGTCTTCCTTGATATCCCATCACTGTCCACTATATTTTAGTCCTTTATACGTGGCGCGTGAGTACAGACAGCAATGCTGCGCATGTTTCAATCTCTGACAAAAGTGCTGACCTCTTTCGCTTCCAATTCAAGTAGGCGACGCCCAGATCCTGCCTTGAGAACAGGGTAATTAGCAGGTTCCAGCGCCGCTATCATGGCAGGAGCCTATGCAACCAAATCTGCCCTGGGTCACCTCAGGAAGCCCGGGCAAGTACACTGGCGCCGTGTTTCTCAAGACCGTCGGTACCATTGTTACCAAAGTCCCTGACGGTCAAGGCAAAATAATCTATAATTCCGGAGATTCCTACTACGAAGGACAGTGGCAAAACGGTAAACGATGGTACAAAGGCGAATATTCATGTCCGGAGTACATCTACAACGGCGAGTGGCGTCGTGATGCGCCGAACGGTCAAGGAGAAATCCGATGGAAAACTAAGGGTTCTTATACTGGTAGCTTCGTCAACTGGAAATGCGAAGGTTCAGGGATCATGACTTCAGTGGGAGGCGACACTACCAACGGGACCTGGAAGGCCGGCAAGCTGCATGGAAAGTTCACGCGGCACGCGCTTGATGGATCGTATTATACGGGCACCTGGGATAGCACAACAAACACAGGACAGGGATCCGGGCTCCGTCACAGCGCCGACGGGTCCGTATATGAAGGATATATGAAAATCAAATGGGTTCTTCATGGCCGTGGAAAGCTGACACGTCCAAACGGGACAGTTAAAACTGGAACTTGGAGGGATGGGCATTTCCAGCACACTTAATGCGTTGATGCGCAGATAACACACAGTGTATTTGTATATGCCTAGTTGAAAGCAGGCTAATTGAACTTGATATTTGTGTAGCTACTACTTTCAAAGCGCCCCTAGCATGAGATGGCCCTCTAGACTATGTCAGACCAGATACTCCGGCCATACCGTGAGTCCTTGCTTTGGCTGGGCGGCGGATGCTCGTAATAATGATCATGCACGTAACTTCGCGCCAATCAACAGCATCAGCTCTATACAGAGCATAGCACATGGTACAGATACTAGTTGTTTGCATCGGTGCTGAAAACAGTAGATAGAAGGCTCCAACCAGAATGAAGAAGGAAAAGGGCTTGACAAGTGAACCAGTTGGATCTGCATCTGTCCTCGTGTCTGCAGGACATTTCCGTTAATAGCTATGTCTCCCCCCTCCTCTTGCCATGCTTCATAGCAGCAAAGACTATAAAGATCCCTTCTCACTCTTACTAAGCACTAAATCACGGTACCCCTCACTATCAGGCTGCCCAGGATCAGGAGGAAACGAGGTGGTGCTACGCATGCATTAGCCTCGTGGAAAAGGGAAACACTCCTGTACACGAACCATGCTCTGAGGACTTAAGAGCTCAGGGTACTCAAGTTTCTCAATCAGAGTCTTTTAATATTTCTCAATTAACCGGTGAGCGAAGAAAAATGTTGTCCGTCGGTCAGGAGGACGCGCCCAGGGTCGATCGCGTTGATGCGAGCACTTTTTGCCCCCCGCCTGGCACCAAGCTCGCGGTGGACATCGATTGTTCGATATCCTCGTATCCCGTGCTGTTGTGGGGAGGCTACATTTTCTGGCCGTTGTCGTACATTGACAATCGCATGTCCATGGCAATAGTTCAAACAAACGCGACAGGCGCTATCATCAAGACCGTGGAGGCAACTGGTGCTCGGTATATCAACAGCATCCAGATCGATACTGCCAACAAGAGAGTGGCCTTCGTTGGCCAGGCTGGAATGGTTGCTAGTCTGTCTTGGAGTGTTCTCCTTGCACCTCCAAGTATCAATCTTGGGCAGTTTGCGACTCCAGTTCAGTCGGGTAAGACCCAAGCATTGAATGTGATGTTGCATTGCACCCTTCCCCACCTCCATGGGCCTCTCCAAGGATGCTGGCACAGTTCATAATTAGTAGCGGGTCTCGTCTGCCACTCTTTTTCCACCGTTCGATCTTCTCACTAATCTGAGGTGTCTCACAGCAACTCCTCCTGTAGTAGTCAAGAATGATGACACCGAGACCCCATTTCCACCATCTCATCGCCATGAATTTGAGATAGGGATAATCTGCGCCTTGGAGACGGAGTTCGATGCTGTTACCCCGCTCTTCGATCAATACTGGGACGAGGATGGCGATCGCTACGGCAGGGTCTCGGGGGATCAAAACACCTACACAACCGGCAGGATAGGCAAATACAATGTGGTCCTTGCCCTCCTACCAGGTATGGGTAAAGCCAGCGCAGCAGGAGCAGCAGCAAACTTCCGTTCCAGCTATAGAGGCGTGCAGCTTGCTCTTCTTGTGGGCATTTGTGGCGCTGTCCCGAAGAATGCAGAAGGTAAGGATATATTGCTGGGTGATGTCGTGATAAGCCAACATGTAATTCAATACGACTTTGGGAGACAGCTGCCGGACGAATTCAGAAGGAAAGATACACTGCAGGACAGTCTTGGGAGAGCCAATGCGGACATCCGCGCCTTTGTGGCGACATTAAGGACGCGAAGATTTTTGCAGCTTCTTCAGTCGAGAATGTTGCTCCACCTTAAAGATCTCCAGATGAAGGTTGATGATGGGGAATACGAGTGTCCTGATATTGCGGAAGACCGACTGTTTCAGCCTACCTATCGCCATAAACATTCCGAAGATCAAAACTGTCAAATTTGCAACCGGTGTACCGGCAAATCGGATCCTGTTTGTGAAGAAGCTCTCGAGTCCGCATGTGCAAATCTGAAATGCGATGAGAGCCAGCTAGTGCCAAGGGAGAGACTTGCGCGTATACAAGTCTCTCAGAACCCCGGTAACGCGCATAAGCCTGCTATACACTTTGGGCTGATTGCATCTGGGGACAAAGTCATGAAATCCGGGGAGGAGAGAGATAGGATTGCTGCAATCGACAAAGTCATTGCCTTTGAGATGGAGGGAGCAGGTGTATGGGACAACCTGCCCTGCATCATCATCAAAGGCGTCTGTGATTATGCGGACTGCCATAAGAATAAGAAGTGGCAGCACTACGCTTCGGCCACTGCTGCTTCTACCATGAAAGCTGTTTTAGAACGATATATTCAAATGGACAGACGGTAACAAGCAGCAGAAGTTGAGTTGCTGGATCTGCAAGAAAGAGATCTACTCCGTTGTTGCCCCTGGGTCTGAATCTCTGCGTACCATCCTCAATCTCTGCGTACCATCCTCGAACTCCTTGCTCAGCATTTCAGTTGTGATTCTGTCTTGCTCACACGACAGTACAGATAACAAGATAATTGAATCTTGTTTTCGCTCATGTATGCTGCGGCTTGACTAATTGCAGGAGTTAGAAAGCCAAGCTGCTCAAGTAATTGCGTAATCGTCCTGTAGCAAAACCTTTTGTATGATCAATCGATCCTCTACGTTCGAATCCGCCGTCCTCAATCATCTTTCCGTAATCATATTGGAACACACCAGGGCTCTGCGTCTCTGTAGTCGGTGCACTGCCAACGACATCCCCAAGCCGAGTGTGAGACTTTTCGGTTGTCGCACCTCACCGATTCCGACTAAGAGCCAGAGCCTGATGGAAGGGAATTCGATTCCATGTGACTTGCTACCATGCTCGCAGATGTACGTCCGTATGCTCCATTGGACGTACATGCAATGACACAATTGTGGCCTGCCATAGTGCCAACCGTATATGTGTTATCTGTCCGTTTCCGATTTGCCAACATCGCCATGGATCTCGTCGAGCATTGCCAGGGCGGCCACCAGCTTTAGCGGCAATGCTGATACCCTCATACTGTGTAGCCTTCGGAAAGAGGTCTAATCCTTATCGTCTCATTACACCAATCTCTCCCTTTCAATTTCCATCATTTACGGCCCGTTTCCGTCTGTTCAGGGCTGCAAGTATTGTCATATTCTTGAGGACTATTACTCACTCACCAACCAACCATTCGACACCTGATACACCTACGCCAAAATCAAGCCAGATATCTCCTATAGAGCCACAAGTAACAGCCAACGCCAAATCAAAAAATGTCCAAAGCATAATATGACGACGCATCCAAATTTAATATCTCACCATAGTCACAAGCAATCACCACCCCCAAGGAAGCCAGTACTTTGGATCGACTTCATGTCGCTGCTCATGGTATTGGATTGCATCGTCTCCCAGCTTGTCTCTCTCCTCTGCAGGAAGACACCAGATCTGCCGAGCAAGGGCATTAAATGCCTTCAGCGTCGATATCTGATGCAGTTGGTCGAGGAGCATTCCTCTCTTCTTTTTCGGGTTTTTTACACAGAAGTAATAGAGCATACTGTGAAGCGCGGGTTTTGTATTTGTCTTGATGTCGTAAGTCTCGGCACCCTCTTGCAGGTAGTGGTTGAGATAATCGATGCGCTGCTTCTGGGGCGTGCAGAGAACCTCGTATTGGACCCTTCTCTGTATAGTGAAATCGAGATCTTCGATGTTCAGGGCTTGCTCCATGACGTGGACCAGATCGTCGTCATGTAAGTTCTCGATTATCTTTTGGATAATGCCTAGCTTCAGGAATTGTTCCACACTAAGGTACATGAGCGCTCTCCACCTCTTGTCTGTCGTTTTGTGGTCGCTACTGGAAGGCGTCCGTGTTGCTTGCGAAGTATGAGCATTGCCCTGCGACCCTTCCGTACAGTTCTTGCGGGATTCTGTGTTTTCTTCAGCCAGCGAGTGAACTATAGTGTTAGTGTGTGCTTGGTAATCATAGGATGAAATGGTGCCCACCGGCCAACTCATTCCTGTCATCACCATTGGAAGAATCAGAACTATCAGGAGTCCAATTCCCTGTGCCTGTGCCGCTTTCCGAGTCCCGCTCCGATCTGTATAACGGTGTACGAGATTGAGGGGATCTCAATCGACGCTTCATGGCGCTTTTCGCGAATTCCTGATTGGAAATTCTAGTCATAGTTCGTATGCTGCTCTTATTCTGGTGACTGAAGCTAATTTCTCTCGATGTATATATAAAGATAACGTAAGGAAAAGATCAGTGAGCAGACATAATGAATGGCTGCGATACGGCGGTCATCATGACATGCTGGTTAGTACCAGATTCTTCACCATCAGATTACCCTCACAATAAATACATAAAACTAAATCATGCAATATATTCATGTCCTACACAGTATATAATACCTGGGGCCTTCTAAGAAGTGAAGCAAGCTATTTGGATTGTATGCTTTGATATATAAGCTATTTACTCAGCCTAAACATTCTAATTGACATCTCATTCATTCACTAAACCAACTAAACTACAGACAATATGAAGCCACTATATGAAGGAAATAAACACATAAATATTGTGCCTCGGGCTAAACAAAGCCACCAATCCTTCACAAGCAGGCCATACCGAGCGTTATTCCATGGATTGTTATCTATAAACCTCGTTCTATGAATGGGGACCACAAGGGAAATGAACTATATCAGATGTTCATCTCATAATTTGTCATGTAGTTGATACTTGCAATGTGATATAATGGCACATCACATCTAAGTCAATGCGTCTCTATAGCCCAGCTTCTCAAGACCAAAAAGGAAGGTGACTCGTGAATGTAGAAACTATGTAGACCTAAACAGACACATAACCCCTCAACAGCTTCAATGGTGACAAATCCATCGAATCAATGACTCAAGCCGGTTAAAAGTGCGGGTAATCCACCGCCGATTATCCAGCTGCATCTGACTGGTTGACCGTGGTTGATTCGAGTGGGGTAATCCCGGGTATCCTCATCTTTAAAGACACCACGTGGCTGGCATTAATTGATGCTATACAGATTAGCTTCATCAAGAGACGGTGCTCTCATCGACTTCAAACCCTTTGTCTACAAGCTGTCCAAGAATTGAGAAGTCATGCCTCTCACTGAAGAGCAAAAGCAGCACTGGCTGGAACACGGTTTCATCAAGATCCCTCAGTGTTTCACCAAGCAAGATGCCGACAACTGGACAGCCTCCATCTGGGCTCGCCTGGGCATCTCCCCGACGGACAAGTCCACTTGGAATAGTGAAAGAGTCAATATGCCAGGCCACACCGTCGTCGACGTGAAAGACTTTGCCCCGAAGGCATGGGATGCCATCTGTGAGCTGGTCGGCGGGGAAGAGCGGGTAACGGATTGGTGCAAGGGCTGGCGAGACTCGTGGATCATCAATCTCGGGAGGCCAGAGTACAAGCCTGATGACCCCTTGGACTTTCGTACGTTGGACAACTGGCATAATGACGGAGATTGGTTCACGCATTTCCTGGATAGCGGGGAGCAAGCGCTCTTGGTGATCCCCTTATTCAGCGATATCAGACCAAGGGGAGGCGGAACTGTTCTATGCACTGATGGAATTGGCCTTGTCGCTAAGCATCTGGTCAGTTTCATTCCGTCATAGGAAGAAATTAAACTGACACTATCAGTACGACCACCCCGAAGGAACATGGCCATCGCTCGCATCCCGTTTGGGTCCAAACCCTCCGCCTCCAGAGGGAGGCAAGCAGTGGAGAGACTGGGTGAGAGATCCCCAACTCACACGGGCCGAGTCCTTCCACGAAGCCACCGGACAAGCAGGCGACGTCTATCTCCTCCACCCGTTCATGTTGCATTCTGCCTCGCGCAATCTCCTGCGTGAAGTCCGCATCATCACCAACCCTCCAGTCTCGCTCAAAGAGCCCTTCAACTATAACCGACCTGACGGTCAATACAGTCTTGTAGAGCAGAAGACTCTGAAGGACCTGGGGCGACCAGAGGGCTTGCCGGAGTGGAAGATCACAAGGGAGAGGGAGATGCTTACTCCCGCGCGGGTGCAGGTTAGTCCATTTTCTTTTTTTGTTTTAGTTCCATATCTGACAGTGTTGCAGATACAGGAAGACATGCGCCAGAAGGAGTTGGAACGACTGAAAGAGGCGGGATCTTCTGTCACGAAGCTGGGAACTGCCAAGCCTCTCGAGTCGCACTATCCATCGTGAAGAGTTGATATTGAGAGCTTTTTCGTGTGAGTACTCTTACGGCCGCTGAAGATACTTGAAAGTCAGGCTCAATGTGCTGAACGCTCCCGGTCTCGCTTTTATTTCAAGGCTCAAGTCACTGCGGGGACGCCAGAATTTGTGTCATTGCAGAGGAAATATATGCTCATTAGTTACTGCCAATTAGGATAGTGGATGTTTTATTATGATCATGTTAGTGTAGTAGGTCTGATAATAGGTGGATAAACATCGGCGGTTCCTTTACAATGATCATATTACATCTTAGTCTATAACGCCCGGACATATACCTAGAAGAAAAGACCAAAGGAGTACTAAAGACGGAAATTAACTGTATTCTGCACAAATATTCCTTCTAGCTAGGAGCTTTAATACATAATGTACTTTATCTGCCTCCATTATAGTGACTGTATTGTACTAATTCTAATAATCCATTCATTGCAATTCATTAGTCAACATCCAATACATTCCTGTAATTGCCACCGTCCCTGATCAAGGTTAATTAAACAAAGTTTCCGTATTCATCCGTGATGAAGCTATTCGGAGTTCAATTTCCGTATCAGGAACAGCAGGTGGGGTTTCTCCATGGTTCATTGACTTTGGTTGATACCCCTAAATCAAAGTCTTAGCCTAATCCAAAACAGCCGAAATTCCGTGCCGTTTCTGCATAATATCTGCGGGGAAGGATACCGGTGCCTGGCGGCTGCGAGCTCAAAAGCCGAACAAAAGGTGTCCTTAGCGAGCAGCTACCAATCAGGATCAGGGAGCTCGTTGCATGTTCCAAGTCTGAAGAAGTCAATCCGGCATGAAAATGCGGGGTATAATGATCAAACTAACGAACTGACAGAAGAAGAGGGACAAGAGTCGGATCGGCGGGCCGTAGGGGCTTGACCAAGTCAAGTCAGTCTAATTACTGATGGTTCCTAGCCATCAAGATGAAACATAGGGGCGCCTATCACACACCTTAATCTACAAAGTCATGAGCGCATTCACAGTGGCCGCCTTGTGAATACTCCCCATTCGTAGATTCACCCTGCGAAATGGCGCTTCTCCATCATCCCTTGAGCAGATTTCTCCGTCTAGTCGGGGATTCTCCTGGCTCAGGGTATAAATACCCAGGTTGAAGAAGTATTGATCTTCCTATCTCAAGTCTTCAGACTTGTCAAAAGCAACATGGACTCCAAAAGAAGCATCGTGGCCGCTGTGCTGGCCCTACTTCCTCTCATTTCCGCGCAACAACCTGCCACAAGTTCTGCTGGTAACCCCAAGCTCACAACATACAAATGTACCACTGCCGGCGGCTGTGTTGCGCAGGATACATCTGTAGTGCTTGATTGGGGCTACCACTGGATCCACACGGTCAATGGGTATACATCTTGTACCACATCCTCCGGAGTCAACAGCACCCTCTGTCCTGATGAGGCCACCTGCGCAAAGAACTGCGTGATTGAGCCAGCCAACTACACCAGCGCCGGTGTGATCACCTCGGGTGACTCTCTGACTATGTATCAATATGTCCAGAGCAACGGCGTGTACACCAATGCCTCGCCTCGTCTCTACCTCCTCGGTCCAGACAAGAACTATGTCATGCTGAAGCTGCTAGGCCAGGAGCTCTCCTTTGACGTGGACCTGTCCACGCTCCCCTGCGGCGAAAACGGTGCCCTGTATCTCTCCGAGATGAGCGCCACAGGTGGTCGCAACGAATACAACACCGGAGGCGCCGAGTACGGCTCTGGCTACTGTGACGCGCAATGCCCCGTGATCACCTGGAAGAACGGCACCCTCAACACCAGCGGCGCAAGCTACTGCTGCAACGAGATGGACATCCTCGAGGCCAACTCCCGCGCCAACTCGTACACGCCCCACCCCTGCAGCGCGACCGACTGCGACAAGGGCGGTTGCGGCTTCAACCCATACGCTCTAGGTCAGCAGAGTTACTGGAGCCCCGGCGGCACCGTCGACACCTCCAAGCCCTTTACCATCACCACGCAGTTTGTCACCAACGACGGCACCACCACCGGCACCCTGTCCGAGATCCGCAGACAGTACATCCAGAACGGCAAGGTGATCGCCAACGCTGTGTCCTCCGCTGGCGTCAGCTCCATCACCGAGGACTGGTGCACGTCCGTCGACGGCTCAGCCGCCACCTTTGGCGGGCTGACCACCATGGGCAAGGCGCTGGGCCGCGGCATGGTCCTCATCTTCAGCATCTGGAACGATGCCGGCGGCTTTATGAACTGGCTCGACAGCGGCAGTTCAGGTCCTTGCAGCAGCACCGAGGGAAATCCGGACTTGATCAAGGCGCAGAATCCCACCACCCATGTGGTCTTCTCCAACATCCGCTGGGGAGATATCGGATCGACTTTCAAGGGTTCTGGCGGCTCGGGTACGACGACTACCAAGACTACGACAACTACGACTACCTCCAAGACATCCACAACGTCGACCAAGACTACCACCAGCACCGCGCCTGGAGCCACGCAAACCCACTATGGACAGTGCGGCGGACAGGGCTGGACTGGACCCACGGCTTGTGCGTCGCCCTACACTTGCAAGGCTCAGAACCAGTGGTATTCCCAGTGTCTGTAGTCGTTTTGTAGTTGCAGATTACCATCTATGTTATAGGTACAATGAAAAAGATTAGTGGAATTTCTACAAATTGTGCATCTCGTAGAAATAGCTACCTTGTTAGATACATATTTTTCGTAGCAATCAGTGGAAAAGGATTGAATTTGTTGGAAGGCGTGGAACGTGACAACATCATTCTGGTTATTCTCAGAAATCTCCACTAAGGCAGCGAAGATATTCAAAACTTCACACGTAATATATTCTCGTGAGATTACGGTATAACAACACGAATGTCATTTATAAGTTGCGGAAATGACAAGTAACTGATTTATTGCTAAATCGGCGGAGATGGACATCAACTGGTTCCATGGTCTAGTGGTTATGACTCCGGATTTTGACGCGTGTCAGTTTTCCGGCAACTCGGGTTCAATTCCCGATGGGACCTTCTTTTTCTTTTCTTCCAACACCTTATTTCAAGTTTATATCAACATTCAATGTTGGTAAAAGAATTTTTATATTTTTCTTATTACCTCCTTGAAGTGGATATTCAAGATTGCATAAGGGTGAAGGACACCTTACAAAGTACTAAGAGGGGTCTCCCAATCGCTGGGGAATTCACCGTTGTGCTGAATGGAAGAAACCCTAACAGTGTCTTTGGTCTGCTCTGAGAAGCATTGACCATGACTGATTTTTGTGTATTGTTATCATCATAAGCATGCAGTCTTCTGTCTCTGTCGTTTGTTCTTGTATCGTACTGTAGAATTGGGGACGTTGGCGAGCATCAGGTCTATTCCCGTTTCGATCTATTGCGAAGATCAAGCGATCGTAGATTAATCGTTACATCGATAATTCTATAGAAAATCATAACCACTAAGTTCCCAATGGGATTATCTCAGTTTGTCAGCAGGCACGGCCTCCAACTCCCCTGAACAAGGCGTCACCGTGCCCGACTCGCTCATCCAGTTCAGAGTACCCCCCTCTCCATTCAAGAGATACATGTACCAGTAGTACGTGCCTGCATCTGTCAGTCGCTGTCCAGCGTTATGGGAGATGAGATATGGACCTACCGGCAAACAAGCCAGCACCAACAATATTTCCCAGCAGGGCGGGAATGATCCCTTCCAGATATATAGCCCGGCCGTGATCTCCGGCGCACCCAGCCAGATCCCTATCGGAATAGAGGTCATATTGGCAACAACGTGATCGAAGCCCAGCGAGACGAAGCCAAAGATCGGGAACCAGATACCACGAGCTTTGACGCGAGATCCCTCCCCTGCATGGCTAGGAAGCAGGCCAGAAGGACAAGCCAGTTGCAGCCAATGCCGCGGAGGAAGATGTGGTGGAAGTCCGGGGTGACTTGTTTCTCGGTGACAGAGGCGATTACTTCGGATTTGAAGGTGTCGGCGGCGAAGGCATTGTCGTCTGCACAGAGGTGGTCAGACCCAGACATGATAGGAGTCAAGGATGGAAATGCTTACAGCCGAAGATGATGGCGACGACGAAGAGGGATCCAGCCAGGTTACCCCAGAAGGTCACGGACCAGTGGAGCAGCATTTTGTACCAGGACAGTTGGCGGTGGAGAGCGGCGACGGTGGTGTACTATACAGGTTAGGTACGTCGCAGAGTACCAGTGTGGACAAGCATACCAGGAAAGAACCAGCGCAGAGGTCCGCTCCTGTCAAGATAATCATAGACAAACCATAAGGGAAGACCAGAGAGGATATCATGCGAATCAACCCGGGAGCATTCTCTTGAAACCATGAAGCTGTACTCATAATCAGGAGTGTTCCGCAGGCAAAGGCAAGCAGACAGCCCGCAAAAAAAGGAACCGAAGAAGACCTTGTCAAGACGCATATTGCCCTTGGTTACGGAGCGTAGGAACCCATGCTGACAGTCGATCTGATGGTACAGCCTGCCTTGGCGCAATTCTATTTGCCCAGACCCCTTCTGATGCTTGAATTCGCGGTTTGTTCGGCTGACGACGAGCAAAAAGAGAAAAGGGATGGTTGATATATGGATGCCCCTGTTTCTTATCTCAGATCTGCATCGGAATTCGGAATATGGGTCTGGAAGTATTATCTGGCTTCCGTAGTCTGTAGTAGAGTAAGACCGTATGCTTAAGCAGGCTAAGCTACACAAACTTCCTCCACCTGGTGGCTCCTACTAACCAGCCGCGATCCACCACGACCCAGAATTTCAGATTTCTGGATTGGCCGGGAACGAGATCAGCCCTTGTCCGATTCCGACTCCGACTGGACGCTCCATCGGTTCTCCATCAGGATGAGAGGGAAACATACAGCTTACTGAATTTGGCAATTGAGCAGCGGCTAGTGCAGCCGGATGTGGCTTATGCCCACCGCACTATGCCTCGCTAGTTGCTAGAAGACGTTTCAAAGTCACTTGGTAGAACATATACAACCTAGAAAGTCAAAGAGGGTCTGACTCTTCTTAACTAAATGGCTATCTCTAGGGTCTTATATACTACTACTGGATGGTCTAAACATGAGACGTCTCATCCAGAGATTGACAGATCAGACGGCAGGTTTCAGATCTAAGGGTCAGGGCCACGGGCCTCAGGGGCCTCCACCTAGTAGCCGAGATAGTAGGGCGGACAACAGGTTGAATGAGACAGGAAGGTCAAAGCGAATCACCAAGCGGTAAATTATCAATCCGACGACTCTTAGGGAGTCAAACTCATAGACTGGCACACCTCTATGACTCGAGATCTTGGGCCAACCTTAACTCGACACGATCCTAGATCTGCCGTAAATCAGATCTATACTCCGTACAAGCCCATGGTTTTGCTTTTGGTGGACACTTCATACCAAAAGCTTATTCGAGAGAAGCCTTGCCAAGTTGGACACATACACGGTTGCAGGCAACTCTTTGCCATTGACACTTGGACTAACCATGAACGAACCAATGACGATCCAGGGCTTAGGATCGTGGACGATGAACTACTAAGGTACAAGCTAAACGGCCTATGTGTGGCTTGACCTGCAATGCAAATGGCTTATTGTCATCCCCTGCAACTTGTCATTAGGACTAAAGCCCTGCTTGTCCAATAGCCAGGGTTACTCATGCGCATTAAATAACTATACTACAATCTTAACTGACAGGCCAGCAATATCCATGTAGTTAGTGATAATGAACAACTCCAGTAAGCCCATGTCAACTCCCCAGATGCCTCTTTTGATCGCTCTCATGCAATTTGACCTTCAAACTGTCCGCCCTTTGGTTGATATCCCTTTCAGACACTCCATCATTCTTCTCTTCTCGATACAGAAACAGCAAAGGCAAAGGGTCATTCCGCCACTTGGGAGCTCCGGCCCTCCGCGTCTTCCATACGGTACCGACCAGAGTTACCACTCCAAGCAACCACACCAGAACCGGCAAGACAATCCATTGCCATTGGACGGCGACATAGGTCATGGTTCGCATCACGCGTCCAGCAGCCATTTGCGCCTTGTCGGGATCCGAACCCGCACTGATATACGCCGAATCGCGGAAACTCTTCGAGATGGCAGCTGCCACATTGTGCATGCTGCAGTTGAATTTGTCTACGGCGTCGTGACTGCAGCCGCTGACGTTGCCCGTTGCCAGGGCCTCAATGACATCCGATCCTGCATAATCCATTCTGGAAGGCGCGTAATAGGATGCGAAGGCGTCTTCATCAAAACCGCCGTTGAAGGTAGTTTTCAAAAAGTAGTCGATTGCGGAGCCGGCTGTGACATGCACCGAAAAGTTCTGGGCCGGGGAGGCTCCCAACTCTGGGCCCCAGTTGGGCTTGAAAATGCGCCGGACTGCTATGAGATTGCTTTGTACCCAGGTAGCGAGAACATCCTCGCTGTAGATATTGTCCTCAACGCGAGCCCGGATGCTCTGGACTACTGGCTCGATGGAACACTCGATTGCTTCCCATTTAGTGTCGCGGTCAATATCCGGTATTGTTCCTCCTCTTTCGCTTGTGATACCTCTCGCTGCGATGAACTGGATCGGACTAAGTGTGGCATTTTTATATACCAGAGCTGAAGCCACGGCCGGGTTTACTGCGAGTGGACGGCGCATCACTGTGTTCGGAACAAACCATACAGTTGTGCTGCTATTTGCAAGCGTTAATGAGCAGTTCTCTGCTTCGCGATGACCAAATGTGACATTGCGGCATGAGGGAACGAGATGGTCAGTAACATTGGTGCAGACCGCACGAGCTCCCAACGACGCCACTGGGTCCCAGGTGCAGTTACTCGAGCTGCAGAGGTACTGGGGAATGGCCCATGGCTTGCTCTGGTCCGCATTGAAGAGCGAGCTGTACACATTTGCTTTGAGTACAGGATCGACTCTGCTAGCTGCGTACTGTCAGCTATGGATATTGACAAAATCCTAGGGACCGATTGCCTCACCACCGCGACCAAGCAAGCCGGCAGTGTCGTATCTGGTGCTGTTTGCCAGGAAGGCCGTTTGCGAGGGGTCGACCACCAAGTTTGGGTAGTAATGAACCAGATTCTGGACGAAGGGATCAAAGGCGAGTGCGAGGATGATAGCCAGGCTACCCCAAACGGCAAAATGCCTGATAACGGTTAGCAAGGGCCATCTAAGTCTTGTGGATTCTGCGTGCCTGGCTTTTAGTATCCAGATGAGCACGGCGCTCCCGTAGAAACCGCGACTGGCCGTGTCAAACGTCTGGAGATCCACCATGCGCTGCTGCCTTTGTCCGAACCACACCCACTTCAGCTGTCCGATGCATTCATTGATCGAGAACAGAACACAGGCTTTGGAGATAGTACTCAACCAGGAAATGACCGAGTTGAGCGACAGTAGTCTCCAGGCAGGCTGGGGCTTGTGGTCAAAATGGATGAGCAGGGCGACCATAGCAACCAGTGTACCTGCTGAAACCAGGACTGCCAGCACCTCCCAGACATACCAGTCCGAGATCAATGTTTCTACGGTCTTTTGAGGCTGTTCCTTCTCGTCTTGTGCCGCAGGGGATGGACTGGGATCTCTTCCAGCCCTGTGACTTTGCTGTGACTGTGCATCCGCGTCCAGTTGGTCGAATGAACGTAAACTGGAACACGACCAAGTTCTCCCGTATCGCGTACGGATTTGCTGCCATGATTGTTCTTCTTGTGGTTGCATTCTGGATGACCAGTGCTTGCCTGGCGTAATGGAAGAAACTGACATATCCCTTCTCCGCTCCGAGCGACTGTCTTTATAATAGAATCTCATTATGTACACTAGACAGTAGCCTGTTACAGGGACCAATGCTACGTTGGCAGTGCTTTTACAAGGGTCTGCTGCACATCTCTCTAGCCTTGTACACAGCGGGCTAGAGATGGTATTTGATAGGTAGATCAATCAGATGTATTCAATACTGGCCAGTCAAATGTTACGAGACGCGCCCAGGCTCCCCAGGCGAAAGCCCTGCGCTAAACTAAAGGCTAGTTTCTGACCCAACTTCATCCAATCGCCGAATCCTTGGTCGTAAAAAGAAGAAAATAAACACAGGCACTGGTGCCAGGATGACCCTGGATTCACTTAGAGGCCGATTGTTTTTTTCTGTTCTCTCCTTTCTAGTTACGATAGAAATATCCCGGTTCCCCGCCATCATTGCCCTTCACTCTGTTTCACCTAGGCCTCATTGACCACGACACTGCTAAAACAGGCAATCATGCAGGAGTTGTTTCCTCAGTCGGCGTTTACATCGAGTCTTTTATTATAAGTAAGAAAACTAAATATACATGAACCGAGACGGAAGGTCACTCGAGGCCTGCTCATGATATATATTGAGCGGGAAGAACCAGGGCTTAAGTGTAATGCTCAGTGACTCACTTTAGATCATAGTAGCACTTGATTATTTCATTCAACTCACTTACAACTGAATATTTATGAGTTAATGGTATTCTGTCATTATTATCAAAGCTATTGGATAATGGATATGCACTGTCTGGAATGCACTTGCTTACCTAATCCAGTTGGGCATAATTTTATTCCAGTAACACTAACAACACACAACACACAACACAACACTCTGCATTTACAACTCTTCCATCTACAGATCCCAAAGGGCATCATCCACTGCAGTGATTACTTATCTACACTCACCATGGACAATCTGTCCCTGGTTGTGGTGACCTTCATCCTCATCGCGGGATCTGCTCTCATTCTCCGCATCAGACATGATCCGCGTGAACCCCCTGTAGTCCACAACGGCATCCCGTTCATCGGCCATATGATCGGCTTCGTTCGGCATGGAATCGACTACTACGCGTTGCAGAGGTATGCGCCGTCCCCCTTACTACAAGCCTAGTCTAATAGACCAGCGCAAAACACGGCCTCGAAGCCTTCACCATGGACGTGCTCTTCACCAAAATCTATGTCATCACCACCCCGAATCTAGTCATTGCCGCTCGCCGCCATCACCGCACCATGTCCTTTGAGCCCGCCATTACCGGCGCGGCGCGGCGCGTGACCGGGCTCAAAGGACGCGGGTTTGAGCTCCTCAGCGAGAAGCGCCCCGGGGGCATGAACCTGCATGGGGACGTTGTGAACGCGATGCGTCCGGCTCTCGAGGGGGCGGGTCTCGATGGGATGAATGAGAAAGTAATTGGGTACTTGCTCCGGAGCCTCGACGACTTGCCGACCGCTGCGCCGTTTGATTTCCACGGGTGGTGTCGCTCGGCACTCACCGTCTCCAGTACGGATGCGGTGTATGGTCCGCTGAACCCGTACCGGTCCAAGGAACTGCAGGATGCGTTCTGGTATGTTTTCAGGCTGGTTTGTGACTAAAGCTAACTGGGTAGGGACTTTGAGGAGAATCTCGCGCTGCTGCTGATGGACGTCGTGCAAAAGGTCACAGCGCGCAAGGCATGGAAGGCACGGCAGCGGCTCGTCGCGGCGTTTCTCGATTATTACCGTGCTGGCGGGCATCTCGACTCGTCGCAGTTGACGTATGCGCGGTGGGAGACGCAGCAGAAGGGCGGCGCCACGCTGGAGGATATTGCCCGCCTGGAGGCGGCTGCTGCATTGGGGACCTTGTCGAACACTGTTCCGGCGATGTTCTGGTTCATGTTTGACATCTTCTCGCGTCCGGAGCTGCTGGAGGAATTGCGGGATGAAGTTTCTCAGCGTGCGGTCCGGGTTGACGCGCAGGGTGTGCACACCGTGGATCTCGCCGAGATCAAGGAGAAGTGTCCGCTGCTGATGTCTGCGTTCCAGGAGACGCTACGGCTACGCTCTAATACCGTTCCTATACGGATTATCTTTGAGGACACAATCCTGGATGACCGGTATCTTCTGAAAAAGGGAGGAATCCTGCAGATGCCCGCACACGCGATCAACCGCGACCGGGCAATCTGGGGCAGCGACGCGGACGAATATGACCCTCGTCGATTTGTCAAAATCAACCAGTCCGACAGCCGCAAGAAAGCCAACGGATTCCTGTCTTTTGGGACCTCCCCGCACGTTTGTCCGGGTAGACACTTTGCCACCGGGGAGATCCTGGCTCTGATTGCCATGCTTGTGCTTCGATATGACATTGTCCCTTTCGGCGGCGTGTGGAAAGAGCCCAGGACCAACAAATCGGCCGTTACGTCCTCGACAGGGCCTCCTGCGGAAGAATTCAAGGTGGTTGCTACAGTCAGAAAGGAGTATGAGGGGGTAAAATGGGCATTCCGTGTGACGGAGGGCAAGGGGAAGTACGGACTTATCATCGGGTAGCTGCTTGTCAGCCAGCTGGACTCATAGCATCTTAGCCAGCATGGGCTGCATGGCTCATTCATGACAATGAAATATATTCCCAAAAAGGCTAGCGCTCGCATGTGATGCTGCCTAAACACTTGCGCTGCTTCCTGAATTCTCGTTAGTTCGATTGCACCAGCCTGTCTGGATATGTATCATCCAATAAAGGGATACTACAGGGAGCGCTCTGTATAACAGGACCAGACAACAAGATGCCCCGGACTCTACGATCAAGCAGGCGTCACGTAGACTCCTGGCACACCACCGAAGCAAACACCCTGTCCCCAATTCAACCTGTCCGCTTCATCACACCACAAGCACGCTCAGATCACCCACAACAAAACATCGCGCTGCTTCCCCCAGACCAAACCCGCCTCCCGCACCTAACCACAAAAGAAATAACCCTCCTCCGGAAGAAACAATCCCGCCTACGCGCATCCGCATCCGCCACAAGGACGACCACAGCGGACTACGGTCCACCTGCCTTGCAAGCCCTCTCCTCAACCCTCATCTTCGCGCAGCACGAAGCAGGCACAGCAGTATGCATCCATCCCGCTGGATGGCTCCTCACCTGTGCACACTGCTTCGGCGAGACCGAGGCCGAGTGGCGCTCCAACAGCCGGAAATGGCTCCTCTATTTCACAGGACAAGCAGTCCTCGTCGAGTGTGTAGCCTGGGACGCGAGGCGCGACCTCGCTCTCGCTAGAATTACTGCGCTTGAATGCCTGACTCCGGCCACCTCCCAGAATTTAATCCCAATTTTCGCGTACGTACCACTAGCACCACCATCAGCTTCTCTCAGCTCCGAGATCCTCTGCATCGGACAGCCAGGCTCTGATGATTTGGAGTCGTTCGTCCCGCGAAAAACAGCCTACGATCTTATTGAGATTTCGGAAGGGCAATTGCGCGGGTTGATACCCGGTGCTGATCCGCATGACAACGAGGAGATTGGGGCGCTGAGGCACGATGCCTGGACGTACTGGGGTCATTCTGGGGCGCCTTTGCTCCGGCGGACTGATGGTGTGTTACTCGGGTTGCATTCATCGTGGGATGAGACTACGGCTATGAGGCATGGGGTGCCGATTGTTGCGGTTAGGGAGTTTCTCAGAAAGGAATTTCCTGGGGGTTGGGTAGAGGACCAGGGTAAAGAGGAGGAGAGAGAGGTGATTATAATTGATTGATCAACTTTTACTTGTGCATGGCATAATTGATGCTGGACACGGCTTGTATTAACTGCCATACTCGCATCGGGAAATATAGGAGTATAGGACCAAGCGGGCCAACTCCACCATCCCAACATTTTCACCGAGGGCCCCCATCGATTCCCGTTGGACCAATCAAATGAACTAAAAATATGAAATAAAGTTGCCCGCGACCAGTCTAAGTTTAACTCGCTGTCAATCGAACTAATTTGTGTCTGTCGTCTGTGCAGTCGGAGCGCATAACCCCGGACATACATTTTCATTTTTTTCCTGGTCAATTATCTTTCTGTTTCACTCTCAACTGACAGAGATGATACAAGTTCCCAGCGCAACAGGCGATCCTGAACGGCTTCGCGCCGACGGCGAGCTATTCGACAAAGATGCCGCGCTGGCGGTCGTCAGCGATGTAGCGATGGAGATCGACCCAGAGGTCGAGAAGCGCGTCCTGCGCAAGATCGACCTCTTCTTCATGCCAGCCATGCTGATCGGGTATGGACTGGTATACTGGGACAAGGCGATTCTCGGTAGCGCAACACTATTCGGCATGACCACCGACCTGCACCTGGTAGTCATCGACCACAGCACGACGCCCCCGTCAAAGGACACGTCCCGGCTCAGCTGGGCGACGTCCATTTTCTACTTTGGGATGCTGGCCGGTCTCTACCCGATGACCTTTTTCGTGCAGCGCCTCAAAATCCAGCATGTCTTTGGGCCGATCGTCATGCTGTGGGCTGTCACCTGTGCTGCTACCGCGGGGGTAACGACCTGGCAGGGGTTGTTTGTTCAGCGCTTCTTCCTAGGTAGGTTCATCCTTTAGCCACGCAGGGTGATGAGGTCTAACAAAGCAGGCTTTGTGGAAAGCGTGGTCCCCACCGGCTTCATGACCATCGTCAGCGGGTACTACACGCAAAAAGAGCAGTCCCTGCGCCAGGCGTGGTGGTTCTCCGGCACCGGATGGTTCACCATCATCGGCGGCGCAATGAACTACGGCTTCGGACAGATCACCTCCGGCTCGCTGAAGCGCTGGCAGTACATCTACATCTTTGCCGGCGTGCTGACTTTCCTCTTTGGGATCTGGTGCTGCGCGATGCCCAACTCGCCCGTCTCGGCCTGGTTTCTTACGCAGGAAGAGCGCGTCGTCGCAGTCGAGCGCCTCCGCAGGGGCCAGACAGGCGTGCGCTGCCAGAAGATCAAGCTGTCGCAGATCAAAGAGTCTGCACTTGATGTCAAGATGTACCTGATTGCCGTCATGATGGCTGCTGCGTAAGCCCCCTCCACCTTCCCCTCTACTGCAATGCAAAGCTAATCATGCAGCTACACAATCAACGGCGCAATCTCCGGCTTCGGCCCCCTCATCGTCTCCACCTTCGGCTACGACACCCTCGACTCGATTCTATTTCAGTTCCCCGTCGGCGGGATCTGCGTCATTTTCATCCCGTTGTGCGGGTACATCGCCTCGCGCGTGCCCAACACCCGCATCCCCATGCTCGTCGCCTGCTGTCTCCCCGTCATCGCGGGGTGCGCGCTCATCTGGAAGTCGACCTGGGGGTACCAGCCTGCCGCGCCGGTAGTCGGGTACGCGCTGACGGGGTTCTTCGGGCCGGTGGTCAGTCTGATCATCACGCTGGGGGCGAGCAACGTGGCGGGCGCGACGAAGAAGACCGTCATGGCGGCGACGGTGTTTGTGGCGTATACGGTGGGCAACATTATCGGGCCGCAGCTTGTCAAGACGCAGACTGTCCGACAACATTATCCCGAGTTATGGACGGGGTTGATTATCTGCTACTGTGTTACGATTGTGGCGGCGGGGGCGCTGTATGTGGTTCTGTGGAGGGAGAATCGGCGGAGGGAGGGGATGGAGCTGGATGAGAGCCAGCGGGATAAGATGGCGTTTAACGATTTGACGGATAAGGAGAACCCGTTCTTTAGATATGTTTTATAAGTTATGGCCACCATACTGTCTGTGCAGACAAAAATAAAGCCGTCTACTGACGAGGGAGGTAGACGCTCATCTCCAAACCCCCCTTATACGGCAGCGTCAAAGTACTAAACCCGCTCCCAGGGGCACGGACATACTCCAGCAGGTCTTTATATCCCTCCGCCGAGCTCAGTGTATTATCCGCCACAACGACAGCGCCATACCTCAGCTTCGGCTGGACGAGCTTCAGCGTGGGGAGCGCCATCGGCGTCCAGACTACGTTCATCAGTCACAGGCACACAGAGGATGAAAGAAGCTGAACCTACTATCAAGCAAAAGCATATCCACCCGCTCAGGAAGATTAGTCTTCAGTGTCTCTCGCAGATCACCCTCCCGGAGATCGATCACGCTACTGACTGCCTCCCCACACTCAGCCCAATGCTTGCGCGCCTGCTCCGCCTTGGCAGGCTCGTATTCCGTCGCGATGACATTCCCTTTACTGGACGCCGCAGGAGCCGCAGCAAGATTATCCGCCACAGCAAGAGCGAGGTAGATGGTGCTCACGCCGTAGGAGGTACCCGCTTCGACGATGGAGGTTGCGTTGAGGGTGCGGGCGAGCTGGTAGATGAAGTGGCACTTGTCTTGCTCGAGGGCGATGAATTTATCGCGCATAAGCGTGTGGAAGGTGTCGGCGGATGGGGTGGTGTAGGTTGCTCGCGGGATGGAGGATTCCTGGGTGGTTGATTCCGCGTGGAGGCGGTCCAGGAGGGAGAGGATGTGAGGGGGGTGGGATTGGAGGGTGGACATTTTGATTTGATGAGATGATGTTATCTGAATGGTGGAAAGAGTGATGAGATTGATAAAGTTATCTGATGGATTGGTATTTATGAGGGAGTGACTTGAGTGAGTCATTGTGGATAGGCTAATGCAGGAGGATACATGGGGATACGAAGAGTAAGACAGCCTCCACATTTGTTGCTACGTGCTCTCGTATTCATAGACCTCTACTGCAATCAAAGGATGAAGAAGAGACGTTGGATTCGGGTAATCTCGTTTAGTCTGGAACAGTGCCTTGAATCGATACCCTACTGGCAGGATGATCCCAGACTTCCACCTCTTCTTCATATTCGAGGATTAAATCACCACAATCGATCATCAACACACGAGCAATAAGTCCCCCTGCCCTTAGTCTTCTTCGGCGCAATGCACACTCCGCGATCGAACCGCCGTCGCTGGCACTAGATTCATCAGCCTCATCCACATAGTATACGAACATTAGCACGAACATGATGATTACACTCCTGCGGATCATCCGGACAGCCATGGTGACCGCCTCCATGATGATTCCCATCGTGGTGCCTGTGATGGGTCAAGCCGTTTACGAGTCCATCTGGGGAGAGGCTGGCGGCCAAAGGCACCAGGGCAAAGGTGGCGAGCAGCTTGATGAGGTTCATTTTGGAAGTGGTTGAAGTTGCTAGCTGGATGAGGTGAGGATTGAACTATTAATATGGCTGAGTGGTGGTCATCATGACATGTGTATGATGGATGGGTAGCCACTGTTAATGACATCGCAATGACTGCTTCGGTTAACATGCCAGCTCCCTTCCTGTATTTAAGAGCCCGGAAGACCTCGAAATGCCTCGCGAGTTTGTTCCGTGGGATGAAGCGGTTGTACTTGAAAAAGAGGACGGCAGTGGTCGTCAAACATGAACGTTCGTCAAAAGCATTACTCTAAGGGTATCTATCTAATCATGAACCATCGTTTCCGTCGGTCTTTTCCGTTGGCGTCTCCTCCTTAGAGTCCGAAATCGCCAAACTATCCCATTTCTCCAGAAACCGATCCATCGACACATCCCCCTCGCGCGCGGCCCCCTGCCGCACCGCCGTCACAAAGTTCGGGTAGAAGGTACTAAACGTATGCCGATCCTTACCCTCCCAGCTGCGCGTCTCAAAGTCCGTAAACAGGGCATCCGTCTCGGCAGGCAAGACGACCTGCATCTGGTTCGCCGAGAGCTGGATCATGCGCAGGATCCCCTTGGCCAGCGGGAAGCGGCGTGCAATGGCCCGCGCGACGATGCACAGCTCGATGAAGGCGGCGCGGTTGCGATGGTCGGGCGAATCGAGGGCCTCAAGGAGGGTGAACATGCCGATGCTGAGCCACTGGATGGTGGAGGGGGCCATGCGGCCGATGCCCCATTTGTCGCGATGGATGCCGATGAGATGGGCAATGCGAAGGGCGTTCTCGATGCAGATGTTGCGGGCGCTCTGGATGGTTTCGGGATCGAGGTGTTCATTGTTGGCTTTGAGGAGGCCGAAGATCTGCATTACGGTCGTGTGGTAGAAGAGGCTGCGTGGTCAGTGAGTGTGATCTGTTCTGTCCGCAAGGTTGGGATGGCTTACTGGAGACTAAGGGCGTGAGGAACGGTGGCGTTCTCGACCAAAAGACACTCCGGCATGTCTGCGTACCAGTCCTGCAATTTCTGGTAGATGTCATTGACGAAAGGGAGCATCTCGGCTCGAGGGATCCGGTCCTCTTCTTGGTAAAACGCGCGGGAAATCTCAACGGTGATGCAGGCGATCGCGCACCACCGGTTGAACACGCAGGAGATATGGCTGGGGACACCGGCGTCGGTCGAGCGCGGGTACGGTTGCCAGACATCGTCTTTATGTCGTTGATGGATGATCCGAGTAACGGGGGACTGCCGCGGAGGGTGGATATCGAAATGCTTCATCAGAGATACGGACGCCGTTCTGGACAGTCAGCCGTCAGCCTCTTGAAATGGCCGGCAAGGGTCGGTAAGCATACGAAGCCATGCTGAAAATGCCCCAAAGGGTCCTGTCAATCGCCCTTCGTTCTTCTGCGTCTTCCATCGCGTGAGGAGGATGAGACGCAGCATACTCTTGGGCTCCCCGGGCGGCCAGATCCAAATAGACCCATCCCATTCGATCTTTGCCCATCAACGATGTTCTGATAATGTCAGCGCGAGTCATGTTTCCGCATCCGACGCGGCGACTTACCGAACGAATAGGATCATGAGCCCCTGGATAGTGGGCAGGCTGGGAGAGTCGCCTTCGTCTTCCCCGGCCTCGAACAGACGACGGGCCTCGTCGAAGAATTGGTCGCCTCGAGTGAGCATGTCGCCGGGAACGGTAAATACTTCTTCGTAGTCGGAGTAATACTGCACACCAGTCAGGAATGGCAAGTCGTTATTCGTGCGAGTTCCAACATACACATGCTTCCGCGAGAATGGCATTGACCAGGAAAGGTGAGCAGAACCGGGAATCCAGCTTTCCTTCCTGCATATGCTTGATCAAACAGTCGGCATCCAGCCAGTTAAACCAGGGATACGTCCATGTTAACCACAACGAGACCAGATGCGACACCAGCTCGCTGTCGTCCGTCACCGCCGTCCACGGCTTCGCGGGAACCTTGTACACCGGGTCGTCGGCCAGCCGGTCGACCCGTAGGTAGCGCCATCCCAGGGGCGCAACGTCTGTCGTCTGGGAGAGTTGGCTTTGGATATCGCGTAATTCAGGCGTCGACTCCAACTCGTAGCGGGAAAACTGCTGCTCCAGGAACAGCTGGAGTTCGTCGAACGAGGCGTTACTGCGGATCAGATTCAACAGTTGGGAAACGCGGCGACTCTCACTGTCGCGCAGGGCGTTCACCAGTCGAGTCAACGTGTCGGCTACTTTCTCCAGCTTTGCCAGCTTGCGATCCATGGCGTTTTTCCGGCGCATATCGGACATTGCGTCAACCTCGCATTTGATGCCATGGCTGACGCAATGCTGACATGGAGGATCTCCACGACACTGTTACGGTGAGCTTGAGAATTCCAACCCGGGGAATAGTGAATATGCAAAAATGGAAAAGCGACTGACTTTCAACTTCTTTCGTTTACACGCCTTGCAAGCGGTGGTTTTGTGCTTTCGCGCAGGCACCAACTCGTCGGATGAGGCATTCCGTTTCAGAAGGCGACCTGGAGCAGGGGCGAGAGGACGAGAGGATGACTGATAATGCGAGTCGGACATAAAATCTCGCGTCAAAAGTAGGGGCCAGGTAAGAGAACCGGTCGAGAGAACGGCAAACGGGCCGGCAGGCGGGGGGAAGAGGGTACTTCTGGGGATTTTATAGGACAGTTGGGTATGCCCTCATGTTTTGGATCTGACATCAAACACGCATGCTCGACAACCAATGAGACGGCACAAGGACATACTGGCGTCCCTGATATCCAAGGGACCGGGCATTTGTACTCGTCCGATCGGAGAATATGGATACGTATGGATACGTATGGAGCATGGATTGCTTCAGACGAGGACCATATTATTATTTTCTGGGTGTTGTTGGGTGTTCCAGACCTGGTCAGGACAGTCGTATTTCACATCCAATCAGCTGCTCCAGATGGCCCGGCAGTTATTTCCAACAATCAGGGCGCTTGTTTGCTTCTGCGGGTGCTGCTCTTCGGTCAGAGCTCGGCTTTCCCGGCTCAGGTGGGCTGTTTTGATGAGGGCTGATTGGTCCCTGTTCTGTGCGGTGCAGCTGAGGGAACCCGAATCTAGCCGGAACAGGAATGGGACCGTCTTTGCTTGCTTCTGCTTGGGGACCGCTGGAAATTATTCCCAGCCACTGGTGTCTAGTCTTACTCCGTACTTGCGTGCGTAGTTTCCGCGGATTCGCCCTTACAGTTGCAAGTAGGAGTTTAGAACTTACGAGAAGGTTACTCGTAGAAGCCTATAACCGACTATTTGAACCTTATGTGAAGCCTGATATGGACAAGAGACGGCATTACGGTGAACTACCGAGGAGTCACGGGTTAATCTACCTCTTGATAGACTACCTGGCTGCTAGTATCTCTCTTTATACTTTCCAACAACCACTCTACCTAGCAAGGGCAGTTGCCACAGATCTACAGGATCCGGCAGTCTTGAACTTTGCTGATTACCACACCGTCGGTATCTCAAAGGGGTAGATGATGAACTGTGGGGCTCTACAATCAGAATCCGAGGCCGTGGCATTGTATCTACTCTGGCTTATGTGAATCCGACCTGGCAGTAATACTACTTACTGCCTACGCCTGATTTAGCAGTAATATGAGGTGTGACTGACCCCTTGCTCACACGACTATTGCTAGCTTAATGATCATCAATTTTGGTCAATCAGAAGGTTAGTCGGTTCGTCCTACTAGATTTGTCCAAGGATGACCATCTGCGCTACGACCTCGGTTAACTCTGAATGACACATCAATGCCTCAAGGAATTTGTTTCCGCCACTCCAAGACCCCAACGTCATGCATGCTCATGTAGATAACTAGATAAAGATCTACTCCTCGTTCTCCCTTAGGAATAGCGCTTCATGTTCATCATCGCGCCGGACATTCCGGATTAGGAAGGAGGCAGGTCTAACCACTAGTTCCAATGTGGTTAGTGCTCTTCCCATAGAAGCAGCTAACAAGAGAGTCGAGAAATTGGGCGTGTTACTTCCTTTTAGTAATGACCACTCGATTATCCACATAGAATCCATCGTTGGATGTCTCAATGCGAGCAACACCACACTAGCAGAGAACAGAGGACAATCCAAGATCTGCAGCTTGACATCACTTCTCCCCAGCAGTATCGCTCCCTCAACTTTTGGACCTTCCTCCAAGGGAGGTTTTCCGGCCCCCACGTAACACGCCAGACTCCATTTCTCCGCGGAGAAGTGTCCCTGCTGCAGGATTCCAAACGTCCACATGGGCACTATCGTCCAGACTACTCGCACATGACTTTCCCTGCTTCACAGGGCCATACAAATCCTGAATCCCTTGCTACTTGCCATTTATGCCTCCAAACACTAGAGAATGCCCTCACCAGACTTGACAGCAGGAATATCACAACCCAAATTCCAAGGCAGGAGAACGTTTCCCAACTTAATCCAAGGCGTCGAACATGATCAACATGGTCCCCGGCAGCGGCGGAAGCGCACCACCCTGCGATCGCAAGATGTTGTTGGCGCCGCGCACTCGCTGCATACATGGGTAGCAAAATGGAATGCCTGAATGCATGCGATTTGACAATCAGTTGTCAACGGAGAATTTGAGTCGTGGGTGCCAATTTACAAATGCGTCCGTCGTTTCCTTCCACGAATGACGTCCCAGTAATCGGGAACTATCGATGCACTCCTCCCCGGCCGACTATCCCTATCCAGATAGTCTGACCAAGGGCAAGTGGCTCCGACCATACTCGAAGTTCGCGAGCTTGGTGCGGACAGAGTGGTAAAGAAGTCCAACGAGAGGATGGGAAAACATGCGAGACAGGACCAGGAGCAGGAGTTTTAAAAGAGGAACAATGGCATGCTGAAAGATTTGCCGTATCGTGAGCCAGGTTCTAGGGTAAAGCCGTACCTCCTTTCCGGGCGGTCCTTCGATACGTTTTCACTCTTCGGTGGAGCGGAACGGGATGCGCGTTCTGTATGAGAGGCTACCACCACTGTTCAACATGCAGACCGGACACCATACTACAATTGCTATAATCCTGCCATTCTACCGCACTCTTTGTGCTAGACACAACCATTGAGCGGTTTCTCTCAAGTCTCAATTGCTGAAGGAGAGTGTTGATGCCGTCATGGCGATGTTAAAGTCCAGTAAGCTGTCATTTGACAATTTCTGGGGTCATAACCGTTTCATCAGACCATCTCTAGGCTACACGACTAAGTCATACTGATATCTCGAAGAAGGTCATTTTCAAGGTACCTCCATTACAAATATCCAGCGTATTCAAGGTTCTTGCTTGAGTCGCGACGCATTACCTATGATTCGTCCATATGTCGCCCTGTCTAGAGAGATAGTATATCGCCGGGGTGTTCGTTCCTTGTAGGTATACAGCATATTAGCTGGCCTCTGATCTGAAGCAGATCTGAGATAATCCTCTCTGCTCCTTAGACAACAGACAATGGCTCAGGTCTATCCTCACCTCATATGCCTACCTTATACATGCACAAAATTATAGAACTAAGCACAAGGTCATTTACCTGAAACAGTTAGCGCAATTTTTGAGTTTATCAGGCGCCGCACACCGCTCACCCCCTGATTGGCCATCGGCTCTACCGCCTTCCTGTCGAGAGATACTGCCCGTCTTCTGCTTCCGGCAAGAGGCCTCATCCGCCGTGACGGTTGTTTCAGCTCAATCTCTTCCGCTGATCTGTTGCAATTGACAGAGTTCAGATTGCGCATACTTATCAACCACGCGCCGCGCACCACCCCACGCGCTACACTAGGTGAATTGACCCAGTTCGGAAGACGTCCGTTATCCCAACTCACATCGCGCAGTGCTAACCACCGTCGCAGCAGAGCAGAGCACCATGAGAACCATGCGCAGCCACGACGAATTCACCCTCGACGTCGACGTCGACACCGACGCCGCCGCCGACTTCACCGACGACCGGCGCAAACGGACCAAAACGACCCACGCCGCATCCCGCATCTGCTACGACTGGATGATCGTCTCGGGGAACTGTCACTACGCGCGCGACCGCGCCTCGTTCACACACTACCGGGCGATGCCGCGCCGAACCCTCGTCAAGAACAACATCTTCAACCCGCACGAGGAGCTGGAGGTAGCCGGTGTAGGGACGGTCGAGCTACGCGTGTGCCGGACGGTGCGAGACGGGGGCGCCAGCTCGCATGTCCTCGTGCTGGAGGACGTGCTGCATATCCCTGAGGCGGTGTGTAATGGGTTCAACCCACTGCTGTATGGGAGTAGCATGTCGTGTAACATGGAGTATTGGGAGGGGGCGGATCGGCGCGGGGAGCCGGTTTGGTTTGCGGTGCCGTATGCTGGGGGGACGAGGCTGGTGCTTGCGGGGAGTCCCAGTGGGGAGACGGAGTTGATTCAGGGGAGGTATTATACGTTGAGTTTGTCGATTACGCCGCAGGAGAGGAGGGAGATTTTTGACGCGATGGCTTGTTGATACCTTCTGGACTCTGTATGTATTTGTAGCAAACTATGTATATTATGTAGATGAATGATACCAGTTTCTGTACTGATGTCCCCCGTAGTAATTGAGCATTGAGCATTGAGCATTGGGCATTGGGCATTGTACCTGCATTTCCCAGACGGCAATTGAAAGATGCTCAGCCTGTCAGTCTGTACTCAACTGAGTCGTATGTGGCGGCTGATGTGCATTAGTCTCGGCCTCGGACTCATCCCTCTGGCCATCTCACCGGGATAGCCCGTAGGGTCAAGGAAACGGAGCAATCCCAGTCGATATTGGTGGATAATCTGCCCCCTTTAGGATGCCCAGCAGTCGATCTTTCTGAGTTGCGGCATGCTGAAACGCGACGGGAACCTGTGCGGAGTAGCCTGGAATTTTTGGTTAGATCGTCATGGAGCAGATATGTGGGAGTCGCAACTTGAAGATGTATGAACAAACGCTGAATTTCTATCCGAATGAGAATACTTCAGTTGAGCAAGAATAAGTGATCAGGCTGAGGGGGAAGAACGGGTGTTCGGACCGATGCCCGTGTGGGTTGGAGTTAGGTCAAGCGAATGAAGGCATTCATCTGTAATAGACAGGATCCAAGCGTCTTCCCCCAGTGTTCGCTTGTCCTGGTGGCGTTGTAGTTATCTAATACTTCCCACGAGATCCCAAGTACGATTAATGAAAAATAGATTGAAATCGATTCTAGTGCATCCTCCCCACGATATGGCACCAGTCCATGCTGGACCATGCATTGACCCTGCTAAGACCGACCAAACCAGTAACGTTTCCCAATTGGAGACGGATGAATTAAATTGAACCACAGGCTGAATCGCTGTAAGAGACTGACACTCAATGCGGGGTCCCCGGGCCTCGTCTAGAATCTAGATCAAACACTCCAAGAGTCGACAGTGTCTCATGCTCGATGTATGGCACAATTGGCATCGGAATGACGGCCAACATGGCAATATCCCGGCCAGTATGCAGTTCGTTCAAGACTCGGTCAGACTGTGTCTATATTAGTCTTAATTTCCACCATGTCAGGCACAGAACTCAGTCTGATGTCACTTGCCAGTGG